TCATCACTTTCCATCAGGTGAGATGCAGGCCAAGAGAGTCCTCGTTGTGTATAAAAAAGATTTACCAAAGCCTGTGATAGCTGGAATTTCATGACTAGAACTGGTATCAGAAGAAGAGTTATTAGAATTCATTCTTAAGTGAGGGTTAGATTAGCGATAAAATTTGCAGAAGTTGACTTCCGCAAGCTGTTACCACTGTGTAAATAGCTGTGGCAAGCCAACTTCTACAAGTTTTGCAGCTTGACCTATAAGTTTTAAGTGTAAATGCCAGAATAGATTCGTTTTAAAATAAACTACAGCACTAAACTATCGATTGCATTAAAATCATGTGAAATCATTATTACTTCATACCATTCATAATAATCAACATCCTCAGAAAAACGGAGAGCTAAAATAATTATTGAAACAGTCATTATTTTTTATAACGAAACACTCTTTCAGCAGTTTTATACGTCGTCTATTTCAGAGATCTGTACCTCTAGCATGAACAACTTTCGTCTTCAAATCGTTTGCGTATTCGATAAAATTCGATACTCAAACGATAAGGTGACAATTTTGATTCTCAAAATAAGTTTCGTGCAACCTTTTTTCATACTAAGTTCACTTTACGACACGTTCACAAGGGCGCTGTTGTAGTTTTCGTACTAAATCTTTTGATAGCGATTCGAATAAGCAAACGATTCGAACTCGAAAGTTTTTCGTGCTAGCCGTTCTGACTAAATAAATTGAATTTTCCCGTAATTTTACATTTACTCGTAGTTCAAGTTTTCGGATAACAATTTCAAGGTGTTAACCAAATCCTCTATCGATCGTACAGCAATTAAGCCAGAGTTGGCTCAGCGTTAATGATATTAAATAACATTAAGGATTTAATTAATTTTAATGATACCCACCCGCCTCGTAATACAAACCTATAAATTATAAGTTACTCGGGATACGAAATACTGTTATGGCTGTATTAAATACACCGTTTATTTGGGATTAGTTCATTTACAGAATTATGCAGGATTAGTAAGTTTTGACTTAGTAGTTCAATTTAAAAGGCCTCTAATATGAAAGAACCCAATATTGGATTCAAGTATAGACTGCCCCAAGTCGTTTGGCCAGCGTGGAGAGTGTGTAGGCACAGAATAAGTAATAGTACAGGTACAGAAGGATTACTCCGCAAGACGATTTAAATAAATGCGAGTCTTGCTACGACCCGATACAGTGGAATTCAGCTCGCACAGCACTACGTACCTACGCCAGGCCTGGTGTAGGTCAATTTCTCAATTTTCCTACATTATTGTGTATATTCAATGTTGCTGTAAACTTGTTACTCTCCTCTACAACTCACCAAACAAAGGACCAAACGTGCCTTGAGTTTTTTCTACCAGGCGACTACCATTCATACAGTATCAATAATTATGGTCCCAGCAGTCTATATATAAAGCTAAATTGACTGAATTCCTATACGTACAAAACACATTGCAAGCAGTATTGTTGTTTCCCTATACTTTTTATGTGTTTTGGCACCATAATGGTATCAGGGAAAATATTAGAACAATAACTTGACTCAGATGGGAAGGACGCCAAGGATCATATTGCTGAGTTGATTTATCTAGGTAGGTACTTCATGCTACATTTAGGTGTCTTATGCAGTTGAAATAAGGTCTATTTTTCAACAAAATTTATGGTTTGCTGAGCTGTTGCTGTACTTTAGGAAGAACAAAGAACAACTTGTTTTTATTGTGCAAGTTAAATTGCACGCTAATTCTTATGTCACAATATTATTTGCTTATCCTATACAGGGTGTCCCAGAATGGGTGAATCAAACTGCTAGGGGAGTTAGCTCTACTAATGTAATATCCCTAAAAAATATGAAAAAAAAAATTTGAGTTCGGATTTTTTTTAAAATAATGTGCTCTAATCTCGAAATCTAGTCATTATTTTCAAAAGTTTGTTTGCAGATAAACGAAGCTATCATTACATTACATTACAATCATCATTACAATTAATTATTAGTAAGAAAAAAGTACAAATAAACTCTAAACGCAGCAATTATAGCCAGATACTTAGGCAAAGCTGATTTATTTTCACTTTTTCATATTTTTTTTTATTGTTTCCTTACGGGCTTTATTTTTTTTTCTTATTTTTTAGGGATAGTACATTAGTAGAGCTACCTCCGGTACCTCCCCTATCAGTTTCATTCATCCGTTCTGGGACACCCTGTATAGTAAAGATGGATGGATGTTTGTTTCTATTTCACACAAAATGAATGATACAGATTAAATTGGCCAAAAAATATTATGTGTCAAGTCGATATATCTGTGACAAACTGAGTTTCTAGCGGCCAAAGCCGCGGGCTTTTTAGGATTACCATACCATAATTTTATACGCTACTAGCTGTGCCCGCGACTTCGTACGCGTGAAAACTCGTTTTCGCAATATTTTTCATTGTTGCTCTGCTCCTATTGATCGTAGCGTGATGTTGTATAGCCTATAGCCTTCCTCGATAAATGGGCTATCTAACACTGAAAGAATTTTTCAAATCGGACCAGTAGTTCCGGAGATTAGCGCGTTCAAGTAAACAAACAAACAAACAAACTCTTCAGCTTTATAATATTAGTATAGATTGAAATAATTTGATGCCGTTAGAAAAAACAAAAAATCAGCTTAAATTTATTATAACTAGTTTTCTCAAAATAATTACTTTTCTCTTTTCCAATTAAAATCTATGACTACATTACCCTACGTTCTGCATCCTTTACCTTTGATCTCATTAGAATCCTAGCCTTCATTAAAGTATTTGCCACACTGAATGTGTTCTGCGATCTGCGGTCAGGTCAAAATGTCACAACAACATTGTAGGTCAGGGCAATCGATCAGCGATCCGGGCAAAACAATCTGTCAGCAGTCGAGACAAGGCAATCTGTAACGGATGTTTGTGTTAGAAAATTATAAATAACTTGAAAAAATCGAACTGCCTAAGGCGGGAATTATACCCACGACCTTACTGCTTTTCCAACTGAGCTACTTAGACATTGGATGAACCCGTCGAAATTATCAAGTGTAATACGCTGTTACGGCCAGCGTTTGTTTCATCAATGTCGGGTATACCTACCCTCGGTTGGAAGAGCAGTCGCCCGGCAAGCGGAAGGTCGTGGGTTCAATTCCCGCCTTAGGCAGTTCGATATTTTCAAGTTATTTATAATTTTCAAATTAGTTTGAGATGCGACTCTTAACACTAAAAATTAAATAATTGCGTTCTTTGCTCTCGCCCACACGGACAGATCACATCAATTCAAAATGTATAGAGACCGCTAATGTTCTTCATACATTATGCGAGTTGCGTTCACTTTGCCCTGACCGCAGACCGCGACCGCATCCAATGTGGAAAATCCTAAACCATAAGGTTCCATTGGTGTTCAACGCTGGAACGCTTTGGTTCGGCGACCGCGACAACTCGCCAACTCCAATAATATAAAGTTGGACAAACTGTACCATTCCAGGCCATTACTATGAGAACTCGATCGAAATCATGAGGTTATAAAAGACATAAAAGACTTTTCAAATAGCTCGTAGAATGTGACTCGTAGATGGCCGACCGACGACACGTGGGCCGACGACATCATAAAGGTAGCAGGGAAGCGCTGGACGCAAGCCGCTACCAATCGATCAACATGGAAAGCATTGTGGGAGGCCTATGTTCAGCAGTGGACGTCCTATGACTGAAATGATGATGATGATGATGATGATGGAACGGAAAACTTGTGTGGCAGACTGCGCTTTTAGAATTAGTACTACAGTGGCGCCACTGCAGCGCTTCTTCACGCCTCTAATTTTAAGGTGCCCCTAAGTTTTTCAAAATAGCTGCCATTGTCATCATCATTATCATTTCAGCCGTAGGACGTCCAATGCTGAACATAGGCCTCCTCCAATGATTTCCACAATGGCCGGTTGGTGGCGGCCTGCATCCTTCCTTGATAGGTACCTTTATGATGTCGTCGGTCCACCTTGTGGGTGGACGTCCTGGTGGCCTCCACTCCAGAACTTTGCTGTCCCATCGGCAGTCAATTCTGCTTACTATGTGCCCTGCCCAATGCCACTTCAGCATGCTAAACCGTCGGGCTATGTCAGCGACTTTAGTTCGTTCGTTCGTCGATGGGTCTCGGGACTCCCAGCACTTTTAGTTTCTGAGATTTCGTAATGAGTGAGTGCATCAATCAGCCAGTCAGTCAGTGACGCTTTTATACATATATTATGGAGGTCTGAAATAAATTTAAAAAAATGAGTTTTTCGTCGAGTTGCGATCGAGTAACCATAGTAAACAATAGCAATCTCGTTCAGTTTGTTGGGCAAACAAATAATTAATCTGCCGGGGTATAGTTTAATTGCTTGTTTGAGTTTGTCTTGTAGTTTCGGTTGCGGTCGGAATTTGCTTGATGAATCTAACCGATTCTACATTGTTAATATTGAAGATTGTTTATTCTGATGTCGGGTCTCGGATGATGTCGTTGTTATTTGATGGAAAATTTTACTTTTGATTTGTAAAGTTCCAAGATTTCGGAAAATGAGACGCAAAATTTAAAGGATTATCATTACTCGTGTATCTCTTGGAATCAATTTATTTTATTTTATTAGGAAAACCAACAGCAATACAAATAATGAAACCTAAAATTATGTATCTGCTTAGCCATAGGGTAATCGCAAATGAAAGTCAACATGAAAATAGACCATATGCTGTTAAAAGAGCAGACATTTAAAGTAGTAGTTTACTAAGGGGTCGTTCCCATGGTGATCCTGTTCTGCGGGATCCAGCTGGATGTTCGTATGAACGTCAATTAAAACACGTATACTACTAAAAACGTGATCCTGCAAAAACAGCTCCTAAAAACGGGATCTCTTCGTGGGAACAAGCCCTAATACTGCATTTTATAAGGTTTGTTAATATGAAATTGAGCTACAACAAAAAGCGTAAAATGGACCTGAAAATTCAAGATGGCTTTGAAAATTCATGATTTGATTACAAAAATGTCAACAAATTGATTATGTGGTTTTAAAATGGGTAAGTTCTATTCTAGCACAATAATTGGTGCTAATGCTACTCGTAGTTAGTTAGCGTACAGTGTTGATTTAATATAAATCAACGAAGACAACAAATATTGCGCACAAGTTTTTGGGTTACTATAGAAATGTATTTAGTAGTGTAGTGTTTTTATCTTATGGATAACTAAGACGATTACAGTCTGCAATTATTTAAACCAAACTGAACAATATAAGTTTTGAAAACGCAGCGTGGTACGTTCACCAACAAGGTGGACCGACGACCCGACAAAGGTATCAGGAAGGCGCTGGATGCAGGCCACTATCAACGTGCGATGTGGAAGTCATTGGTAAAGACCTATGTTCAGCAGTGGACGTTCTGTGGCTGAAATGATGATGATGATGCTGAAACATTAGAAGTTACTATTTAAAGCTGGTGGTATATTGTTGGGTTCAGGGAATCGAACCCTATACTTCTGGAGACCCAAGATTTGAAACCTTTTTTCACGTCAGCAGTAAATTATCAATAGTATCTTTTTCTAGGAATGGGATGTTCTTGCAACCCAGTCATGGGGCTCAAAACCCGTCTCCAAACATCAGCTGAGCGACGGAAGCATCTTAGAAGAAACTGCAGATGTATGCAATGGAGGCCCAGTTGCTTGATGATAAGGAGGAGGAAACGACAGGAGAAACCTGTAAGTGTTTCATTAAAATAGAAAATTATACGAAGTTTTTGTTTAATTATGCAGAACTGACAATTTAAGAGGTATTAATTCCCGTCAATGTCTGCTTTAATATGGCAAACCTACTCAAAATGTAAATAAATAAAATAAAAAAGTAATTATTGCCTTCGAACCTTAAATAAACATTAGATATCAAAGAATATTACAAATTAGGTATAATTATATCGATGAAATTATCTGGCGCGCTTAGCGGGAATATCATTTTGTAATTCAGTTCCTAGTATTCTGAAAGATGAAAATATAACTGTAATAATAAGTGAAATTGAAATAGTAATTCTTCTTCTTCATCATCATCATTTAGTATCCACAGAACTGTTATCATCTTATTTACCAGACTCAAATGAAGTATCTGCTCTATTATTCCAGAAATGCGCATGCATGTGCAAACGCAGATGCTGTGGTCAGGATATGCCTCAAGCTACGTGTGAGGGCTACGTCTGCTCTAGTCCTGAAGCGTCACCACCAGCTAAAAACGTCTGCCGATTCACTGTGGATGCTTACTTTACTTAAATCGCTTTGAATTGGTGTTATTTCAAATCTATGTCGTTAATTTATACCTCATTAGATCATAAATGGCTTTTGTCTTCAGAATAAGTGTTTCAGTAGGAATCCACAATTTTTCCAGTGTGATTTTTCATGTTTTGCTTTCCGTACCTATCTATACCTACCCATGATTGTTTTCGTAAAAGTCCTCAGTATTTATTTCATAAAATAGCTACGCTGTACCATGTTGTACGGTGCATTTATTTATGACAAAAGAAAGGGGATGATTATGGTCACTCAAATCTTTAAGAGTAACTTACTCATGTGGAATACCAAGTTCACATAAAGAACATTCTCGTTATCTTTTTAAATAAGTAGTAGGTAGTACTAGAACTTACAGTGTACAGGAGTACCAGCAACCTTTTTTTCTTTAAAATAGTATCTATCACAACTACGTAAGACGCATTTAGTTACTGTGCTCTCGTTGGTACTTAAGCGAACTATTAACCATAGTAAACATCTGTTCTTCAGAATGAGGCCATCGATTCAAAGCGGACATCCAATTTTCCACTCTGTTGCGTCCGTTCCCATGTGAGTCGGTTCTTTTTCCACCCCCAGTTTTATGGGCTGGGTTGAGGGTAGTTTGATGAGGAATTCGGATACGAGTTGCTATTTAGTTTGCCATTGAAGTTAATGTAATATTTTAAGCGAATGTGACTGTTTGTCACGCTTAACCTAATGAACCAATTCTGATAAAATTTTGTATGGACCGTAATTGTGAATTCCGTCAGATTACAATCTGACGTAGTTAGTAGTTCATAACTTTACGTTGGTATACTAATTTAGTTTGAGACCCAGAAAAACACAAAATACTCAGTTTTTAAAAAGGGACAAGAACCCTTGTCCCCTTTTGCTGGCTTCAATCGGCTGAATTTTCACCATGAAACCAAAATTCACGCGATAAAAGCCATGGGCAAAAAAAAATCCTACAAACATTTTTTTGAATTCCGTTTTCTTGACTTTTGATACACTCCCAGACATAATTATTACGAACCTAGATTTGTAACTTTTTTGCTATCTGACGCATTAAATTCTAATGAGAAAATACTACCTTCATTGCAACTGCATTCAGAGACACTATTTCACAGTCGATTTAATTGGATACGAATTCGTTGATAAACAATAAATAACGTGGCTGTTCATTTTTCATTGAACATTGAAACAGTAAAATTTGATCAGCGAGACCATTAAAAATGCATCTCTGTTATTTCACAGAGTCAAGTTGGCGCAGTGAATGCTGGACAACATCAGACAGCCTGTTAGCCTAGGCGCAGATCACCGACTTTTAGTTGGCCAACAGTTGGATGGGGCTGTTGATCAGTATGGAGATGTATGAAAGTGCGCACATTACACCGATTTGGTATCGGCCGATTCTTCATATACAAATTAGAATCAGGCCCAACTATCGGCCAACTAAAAGTCGGTGGTCTGTGCCTAGGCTAAAATTTGGACAGGCCTGTTCATCTCCCTGAGTAGGCATCGAAACAAAACAAGCGCAGGATTCCCGAGCGAGTATAATAATATTAAGTGGTCACGTATGCGCGCGTATTTTTCACCCATTAAAATAATATTCGCTATAGAAAGAAGAAAAAATATACGTGTGATGCGCTAGATGGCGACACAGTAGCTTTTATAGCAGCCAACCCTATCGCCTCGGCACAGTACCACCACGGCAGTACCGGAACTGCAAAATCAATGTACCTATTTGTTGTTGCCCTCACACCATGTAAGTATCACATCATAATTTTGCGTGAGTCATACTGAAAGAAAGAAAGAAAGAAAAACATTTATTTGGTTCAAACTTAAAAAATATAACACACAGAATGAGATAACAAAAAACAAGTATAAGTTAGAACCAAAATTGGCCACCGCTCAGCATGTGTCATGCTCTGGAGTGTAATAAAACCAGAACACGACGCTGTTATTCTGCGGTGACCATTACTGAAGTTCACGTTTCAGGGTATTTGATTAGAAAGTGAACTGTGTAGGTAAGTGTTATAGAAAATTGATGAAAATTAAATGTCCTCGCTATACTAAGTAATCTGAGCTTCACCAACCTTAAAGTCGACTCTCGAAGAGACTCACGGCGTTCTGGGCTGTGGAGCACTGCCAGAGTATCCTCGGAGCTGATGCTGATGATGATGATGATACGGAGCACGACTACACGCGCGAACTATCACAAAAGGAACGGTCTTTCGAAGAAATGAACGTCATAGACTCGATGAGCGCGTGACACACGTGTGTGCGCATTGAGCGTCGCCGGGCAATTGAGGCTTGCTCCAACATTGAAAGTTAGCGAAGAAAATATGCGACTACCCGCTAATATTTTTACAAGGACTGAACATTAGCATTTTTAATTTCATATCAACTTCATTTACAAATGTCACATTAATTTCAAAAAATAAAAAAGGAAACGAAGAATTTGAGAATTGAGTTTCTATTAAATAAAATGTTAATTAAAAGAAGAACGGTCACGCCCCATACAAAAAAAACCCAGACCCGACAGAAACGAGACATACCGCAGTTTTTTTGTCATGTCTTACTTAGTTAAATTATATATTTTTTATATTCGAAATCTATGTATAACACCAAAATATTAACCTTTGTTTTTGTTCAGGCCTTATACAAAAACTAATACAAAATGCCTATTTATCACCAAAATTGGTAAATGTATGTACCTAAATGTCTATAACAGCTGCTATGGAATGTATCTAGGTGACCTGGAGATACAGCCGGATTATACAGGGTGGAAACAAGAAGTTACAAAATCCAAAAATTCAATGTTACCAGCTTCCATAATCTGTAACCTATTATTGGTACCATCTGAAAGAGCTCGTGAAACTCTTTCAGAATCAGTAAATAGTTTTTCGATATCTTGTATAGTTTAGAAATAATCGAGTGAGATCACTTATCGTTCCATATGTATAACCATGCTGTATAATCCGGCTGTATCTCCAGGTCACCTAGATACATTCCATAGCAGATGTAATAGACATTTAGGTACATACATTTACCAATTTTGGTGATAAATAGGCATTTTGTATTAGTTTTTGTATAAGGCCTGAACAAAAACAAAGGTTAATATTTTGGTGTTATACATAGATTTCGAATATAAAAAATATATAATTTATCTAATTAAGACATGACAAAAAAAATGAGGTATGTCTCGTTTCTGTCGGGCCTGGGTCACAGATGACCGTTCTTCTTTCATATCACAAAAAAGACCTGCTGCTTTTACTAAACAAGATACCGATTGCGATGCATTATAATTTTTTATTAAAAATAAATAAGAAAATACTAATTGTCCCGTTATCCTCTCGCCCCTAAGCTGAACTTTATTATGCTTGTGTCACGAGTGGGCTCACTACAATAGTCGAGCGGCGGCGGGGTTTGAACCCGCGTTCCCCGAATCACGGGTCAGTCAGTCCGACCCCTTTACCGTGGCTTCAGTTTGCTTTCAGTAACTTGGCCGTTCTCACCGTGTTGTGGCAACAGCATCAGGCCACAACAAATATTGTCCTGAGGCGCAAACAGCCCGTGTCAATACGAGGCCAATATAAATTCTGTTTGTCAATTAATTAAACGTTGATCGTCATGGCGCTTGATGGCCTTTTGTTTGCTAGATTTCAAACCAATATGACCAACTAGCGGCCGCCCGCGACTTCGTACGCGTGGATCCCGTTTTACCCCCTTCGTCTATCTTACGCGGAATATATTTTTTCATACAAATGTTTTTTCCCGCTAACTCCCGTTCCCGTGGGAATTTTGCAATATCCTGTTGTAACTAAGCTTTAAGTTTACTAAGGTACCTGCATGCCAAATTTCAAGCGTCTAACTTAAGCGGTTTAGATTTTTCATACAAAAGGATTTTCCCGCTAATTCCCGTTCCCGTGGGTATTCCTAAGTATACTATAACCAGCACAGGGGTATGAAGAATAATTGTACCAAGTTTTGTAAAAATCCGTCAAATAGTTTTTGTTTCTATAAGGAACATACAGACAAACAGACAGACAGACATACCTACAGGCAGACAAAAATTTTACTGATTGCATTTTTGGCATCAGTATCGATCACTAATTACCCCCTGATAGTTATTTTGAAAATATATTTCATGTACAGAATTGACTTCTCTACAGATTTATTATAAGTATATAGATATAGATAGATAGCCGTCACTTTAATGTTAATTTTGCATGCCAAAAGGTGGAAGATGGAGATACTATACTAAGAAACTTGTAACACCTAGTATGTATGGTGAACCTATGTTCGCAAATAAAAATGATTAGATTCAACACTAGACACAAAAAAAAAGAAAACCTAAAATACTATACACACTCAAAAATCGAATCAAAGTGAAAACTCGCAGATTGAGTCAAAGAAGAAAAAAGCAGCAGTTTTACGCAATTTTGTTGCAATTTCTTACAAAACTTGCGCGCAAAAAGCAAATCTAGTAGGTCTAGGTATACATATTGATGTGCCGTTCCCGAGAACGCTCTCTCAACTGAGAATATTCTCGGGAGCGTTCCCGGGAGCGTTCTCCTAAGTGAGAAAGGTTGAGAATCATGTTTATCAAATGGAAATAAACAAACTTTCTTAAGTAAAATAGTATTAAATTAAGTCAACAGATAAGTGTATATTAAACAATACACTCTATTTGCAGTGAAAGGCTATATTCTCAGTGTTCCCGAGAATATTCTCGGGAACTTTCTCGGCAATATTCTTGGCAACTGCACCTTTATTATATTTTATTTTTTTCGTCGTGAAATGTCGTTTTAATGATATGTAAGATGACAGAAATTTCTTTTTACACGTAATTAAATAATGTAACTGTCCATTTTTTCGTTTTTAACACGCTCTTATTAGGTCGTCGTGTATGTAACTATGTAATGGAATCTTAGAATCTGAATTACACGCACTTCTAAGTATTGTATCATCATGAAACTTGGCAATTATATGTAGATTAGAAATGACAATACAATATTGCGGTACCTACCAGCTGGTCTGATGAAGGGACTGGAAGGTGGCCAAAAGAACTCCTAAACGAAACGGCGGAATCACATCGAGTTTGGGTTCATTGGATGTCTTTTCGAGATCTTTAAGTGCTAGATAATGTTCAGGGTCCTAATGATGGAGTCAGAAGGTAGCCATGGGAACTCTTAAACGAAACGACGGAAATTCATCAAGTTTAGGTTCGTTGGATTTGTCTTTTCGAGCACTTTAATGTTAGATGATGTCCAGGGTCCTGATGATTTTTGGCTTTTTAGTGCTGTTAGTAATTAAAAGCGTGTTACCTATTAGTTTTTTAAACTATTCTTATTTGACATTAAGGGCATATTTCGCAATCGCTTAGTAAGGGCCTGTTTCGCCACTTCTGGATAAGTTGTGGATAGCCTGTCTGACGAATCATTTGACACATTTTTATAGAAAATAAGTGCTAGCTAGATTGATCCGACACTTAGAAGAATGGTAATACTCCTCTTCAAAAAAGGTGACAAAACCTTGTTAAAGAATTATAGACCCATTTCGCTTCTGAGCCATGTCTATAAGCTGTTTTCGATAGTCATTACGAATTGTCACGCTAGCAGGCTCGACAACTTTCAGCCCCCCGAACAAGCCAGTTTCCGAAAAGGCTTTAGTAACTACCATATACCATAATAATATACGCAACGGCAGATTATACGGAAGATCAAGGAGTATAATCAGCCACTTTGCGTTTGTGAACTATGAGAAAGCCTTCGATTCGTTTGAATAATGAGCAGTGCTTCAGTCTCTTCAATTGTGCCAAATTGACTATTGATACATTAAAGAGTTGAAAGGCTTGTATAAACACGCCACAGTGACAGTCCGTTTTAAGATCAGGACCCGAAACCTATCCAGTTGCAGCGAGGGGTGAGACAGGGAGACGTCATCACCACCGCCCTGGAAGATGTTTTCAAGCTTCTGGGCTGGAGCGGATTCAGCATAAATATCAACGGCGAGTACATCACCCAGACATCAGACGATATCGTAGTCATGGCTGAGATCGTGGAAGATCTAGGCACAATGCTCGATGGCCTCAACAGAGTCTCTCAACAAGTGGGTCTCAAAATGAACATGGACAAGATTTAAAAATCATGTCTAAAGACCGTGTTGCACCCACTCCTCTATAAGTTGGAGACTCTACACTCGAGGTTGTTGACAATAATGTATACCTGGGACAAACAGTCCAGTTAGGTAGGTCCAACTTTGAAAAAAAAAGTCAATCATCGAATCCAGCTCGGTTGGACAGCCTTTGGTCCACTTTGAATCCGCTTGCAATCCGCCAGAATGGCAAGGGCCTTAAAACTCAGAGGCACACTGATGTTCAAATACCGTAGCCGAGTCCTAAAGCCGCGGTACGCGTTCGCCATATCTCACTCACACGTTTCATGCCTTGTTTATAACGACTAGTCATAACGCCCAGTTAATAAAACATCGAAACATTACATATAACATCACATATGAACAACAAAATAAAAATTAAAACTAAATGCATTCTGTCGAGAACACTGAGAATATTCCCGGGAGCGTTCTCGGTTCTCGAGAATATTCTCACTGGGAATATTGCCGGGAACGAGAACTTTCTCAGCGGCACATCTCTAGGTATACATATAAAATCATCAAACTTCTAATGCTCATAACTCAGTTCAGACTGAGTTTAGAGGTATACATGTCATAGTAAGTTTGGTTTATTACACTATTTTGTAATCAAAAAAGAAGGTTTGGTCGATGGCCGCGCGAAAAAAAAGACGCCAATTTCCGGCATTGTCTTTGTCCTACGTTTCCCCTGTGCCTCAAATTATCTCTACACCAAATTTCATCTAAATCGGTTCAGTAAAAAGCGTTAAAAACTAACTAAGTTACCTACAACATTTTCCCATTTCAAAACCTCATCGTCGCGATAAATAATATTTCTACTATCCAACCATTCCAATAAAAAACAAACACCAAGTTCAAACCTCGGATAGTTGGCCCAACTCAGAGTGGGTAAGTTTCTTCCATTTTCTGGGAGATCGGCCGCATCCTCAGATCATAGAAAGAGAATAGATATGAAGTCGCGCGAGACTACAACGAGAACCAGTGTCCCCACATTTCCCCCACCACAGCTCCCACACACACATTCAACTGTGTAAAAACAAAGCGACTGAGAGTCTACGACAACATGTGCAACCGGCTTAAAAGTGCTGTGATTGGCCAGAAGGCGTGCCTTATGGCCAATCAATGGCCGCGTGACGTGACGCACACATAGAAAACGCTAGTGAGAGAACAAAGATAAAATGGAGTCGACAAGATATCGATACTTTAAATCGCTAGGGGCAAGGCTCGAAACTGGTTTCACAAAATGCTTATGTATGAAAACCTTTTTATTATTATACGTTATTAATAACTACTATCACGCATTTACTTTTTAATTATGGCGATCTGCGTACCGCATATGTTTACCAAAAATAATGCCTATATTATTAGGCTTTCAACTAGCTCTTATAGTAATTACATAGTTGACAGTTACTAATTACTTCTACTGTTATTATTTTTTTTGTAAAATCTTATAATCGCAAGTAACACATCATTTTTTTATTTAAAATTACAAAATAGAAAATTATAATTTACTTCTATTTATCGATAATAGGAAACCGCATTAGAACACGAGCACGGCACTATGTTACGACCGGCACATGCGGCCGTACTGTGTATTTTCACACGACAGTGGATATCGGAAGAAATTAAATACATTGCGCAGTAGTTGAGCATGACATAAAGTGGTTGCTAACTAAATCGTCAATGTACAAGTGTGTTAGAATTTTTATCACCACTGATTTCGATATCGCAGTAACTGTTACGGCACTGAATTCGTTCGTAAAAATGTTTAGTTTTTTTTTATTTATAAGCAAAATACCAATGGATTTGCAATACTTACATGTAGTAAATGACTCCATTGTTCCTGTAGTTCTTCGTTTCACTTGTTTTATTGCACGTAACGACGCATTATCCAAAATATCGGAGAACATTTCCTTAGTACGACTGAATCGCGACTAACCTAGCTACGCGGCCGATGTTCGTTTCTGGGCATATCGCGGAGACACGCGCCACGCCCCCGTTTCACATCTATTCCCTTCTATGATCTGAGGCCGCATCAATAGACCGGTCCCGATGTTGGAACTTTGGAAAAGTTTTTGACAAACTCGAGCGTCAGATGGCGGGCCTCATAAATACTTGGTGAGGCTGTAAAAAGTTTGGACACCATTATGGTTTGGGGTCCGAATGTTTTTCCGATGAAGTTTTGATTTTGGACGTGCCACTTATTTATTGCTTTTGGGAAAGAAATATGAAATATTTTGTATTTTTTGCTTATTGCAAAAGATCAGTTCTTTCGTTCGTTTCAGCTAAATGACATTCACTGCTGGATAAAGGCCTCCCCCAAGGACTCCCAAAATGACCAGTCCAGAGTTGCCCTTAACCAGGTACCTACCTACCTCCCCTCTCTTAAAATGCTGTGCCCGACAGGGTCCATAATTGTATCTTAACCGATTGAGTCCCAGACGGCATTAATTAATGTCATAACAATTGATTATCTATTGTGTCTAGATTCGCGGAGCTTGAAGGATTAAAAACCATACATACCACCTCTGTAACATTATGGATGCAATAAAGAATTGAGTATTGAGTACCTACTTCCCGCGAAATATACAATTTGGTGCTACCCTAATGTTACTATGAAAATGATTAAAAAAAACACGGAAGCTTATTTCATTATAGCTAGTGAATTCAATAAAACAATGAATAATACTATACATTTATATTTTTCTGAAATTGCATTTCTATAAGTTACATTTTCTATATTAGTTTATAAAACAATAAAATTGTTAAACAATCAGTCTTTTTGAAGATAATTATCATAAAATTTAAAACAAGCAGTGTTTCCTCTTAGTCAAATGTTTTTGTGTATAATCAAAACAAAAATGGTCGCATTATTTAGTGTACAAAACCTTTGTCCAAATAAAAACACTCTGTACAAAATATAAAAATTTAAAATAGACAGTTCTAAAATTTTAAAATAAACCAAAAACTGCACAATTATTATTCTGTAATCAATGGCTAATATTTGGCACGGTAAGAATTTAAAAATACACTGTTGGTTTTTAATAAAAGAGTATTATAAAACTTTGTAACCCCATACTCTCGGGTTTAAGGGTTAGAATATACATGTTTCTTTTCTTCAAATATAAATAAATAAACAAAATAATTTACGTTTTGGCAGTGTTCATTGTTAGCATTGTTAGTTTGCCAAAATACAAAATAACAATAAATTGTAAAGACTGTATTTATTTTCACCGCTAAGATAGGTAGTATATTTTCAGTGATTTAAAAAAAAACCGTATATTGACTGATTAACACGGGCTCAAGCCGGCAAAGTTGAATCAAATTCATCTTTTTCTTTAATTATTTAAAAAAAAGTAATTATTTATCTACACTTAGATCTATTTATGTACAATTCATCTTAAAAGTACAAAAATATTAAATAGCTACAGTGATACAGATCTTCCAGGGAAATTGATTATGTTTCGATTTTAAAACATTAATTACTTTTATTTCAATTCAATGAATACTATAAATTGTAAATTATTTATTTTTTTAACGTTTGCGTATTTGACATTTATATTTTCTGTACAATATTGTATTGAGATCAAAAAACTTATTCCTATTTTCTGTTCTGGTAACACACGTTTTCTCTACAGTTGTAATGAACACAAACATTCATATCGATGGGTGCCTGGAACAAAGCCGCAATATCCATAGCAGCAGTTTTCCGATTAAGTGATTTTAGTAAACTGCGGGTCCCTATACACCTTTTGAATTTTTTTCAGAATTTTATCTTTGAAACTGCCTGATTTACCAAAAGCACTATGGATATTGAATCGTTATTCCCATTCACCATTTAAAATTTGTTGACCGGAATAATCGTGCCATATACAATGTTAAAACTTTTATTTAAATCTTCTACAAGCAAACGGCTATTACTGTATCCTTCAGATCAGCGCCCGAGGCTGCAATACACTATTGCTGTTTGATTAATTGCACACTTTTTACCGGAATAAAACCACAATGGACTCTTACAGAACCGACTTTCAATGTATGAAGCGGCAATATGTATTTCTACCTTTTTTAAAGTATATTCTAAGCACAATAACCTTATGCACATTCAATGTTACTCCAGAAAAAATAACGCATCGTTTGATATACAAACCGTTTTGATACGCCTCGTAGTTTAGAATTATTCAAAATTGACACTAAATCTCTTCTCCTGTAAAATTGTGTTTTGTCGATTGCGGCTTTGTTCCAGGCACCCATCGATATTATTTATTAGGACTAGACTTGTTTCGGTTTCCAGCTACCTGTGATGCGGTACTCTGCAGGCCTCTGAAAAAGTAACACAACAATGAAAATTTGGAACTTCATACGAAGTATCTGAAAGGACATTATTTTCACCTCTCGTTCCCTCCGATACAGCTTGACTGCCAGTAAAAACCCAACTAATCAAGGGCAAGTCTGTCCCCGGGGAAAGTTAAATATAAATTGGATCGGCAATTAAATTGATTAGAAGAATATAGGAACAGAGGAGTTCGAAGTGAAAGGACATAAGGTGGGAAGGTTAATAACCTACATAATTAGAAAAATATGATCACTTACTTCTTGGTACACTCTTCAATGTTGTTGTCCGAGAAACGCAATCACTCTCTTCTGACTCAGATCGCATTTGAAAACTCGTTTCTGTAATCAAAATGTTTCAGTTAGTTTTGCAACAATACCAACACATCATCTATACAACGTGTCCCAAAATTCAAGGATAAGCCGACGCCACAGGACGGACATAGTCATGACTACTTTAGGAAAAATAAGGAAAAAAATCTATCTCAATTATTTTTTTACTTACACAATAAATTATGAAATTCGACGAAAATTGACACCCCTTATGATATTTTACATTACCACGACCACAATTTTTCAAATATTCCTGTTTTTCTGTTTATATCGACAACTTAAGTAGTGCTGCTGTTCACCCCAACTCTTAAAACCCCCAGAATCCTTGCAGTTTTTACGCAAAAGTTAATCAAAATATGTTATTTCCTTAAAATTTTCAACGATTTTTACTTTCACTCCACTTTGACTCATCGTTTTGTAAAAAAAAAGTATGAAAACTACTGCGGCAAGTTTTTTATAAAGTTGACGCAACTATCCAAGATTCCAAAATGGTATAATACTCTAAGAAACCTAGTCGCAAAAAAGATATGCGTACCATTTTTGCAAGCACTTCGCTTGTTAGTTAGTATGGGATAAATCTTGCAACTGAATTTAAAACCAGTTCTCCTTAACCAATTGAGCTAAAATTTGGAATACTTGTGTAAGTACGATGACAATGCAATATTATGGTACCATTGAGCTGGATGGAGTCTGGAGGTGGCCATAGGAACTCTTAACGAAACGGCGGAATTACATCTAGTTTGGGTTCGTTGGACTTGTCTTTTAGAGCACTTTAGTGCTAGATGATGTCCAGGGTCCTGATAATGAAGTCAAGAGGTGGCAGAAGCTGGCCATAGGAACTCCTAAACGAAACGTCGGAAGCTTATCGAGTTTGGGTTCGTTGGATTTGTCTTCCCGAGCACTTGGGCTATGAGATTGAGAAACAACTGAAAAGTTTAAAATAAAGTTGTAATAAAAATTTTTTTTTTTAAAAACAAGCTTGACTTCGTTTGAAAATTATAACTGACTTCATCATCAGGACCCTGGACATCATCTAGCACTAAAGTGCTCGAAAAGACAAGTCCAACGAACCCAAACTAGATGCAATTCCGCCGTTTCGTTTAGAAGTTCCTATGGCCACCTCCAGTCTCCATTCAGCTCAATGGTACCATAATATTGCATTTTCATCGTACTTACATAAGTATACCAAAGAAGAAAGGTCATCTATGACCCAGGCCCGACAGAAACGAGACATACCTCAGTTTTTTTGTCATGTCTTAATTAGTTAAATTATATATTTTTTATATTCGAAATCTATGTATAACACCAAAATATTACCCTTTGTTTTTGTTCAGGCGTTATACAAAAACTAATACAAAATGCCTATTTATCACCAAAATTGGTAAATGTATGTACCTAAATGTCTATTACAGCTGCTATGGAATGTATCTAGGTGACCTGGTGATACAGCCGGGTCTGGGTTTTTTTTGTATGGGGCGTGACCGTTCTTCTTTCAGCTCAATCGGTTGAGGAGAACTGGTTTTAAATTCAGTTGCAAGATTTATCCCATACTAACTAACAAGCGAAGTGCTTGTAAAAATGGTACGCATATCTTTTTTGCGACTAGGTTTCTTAGAGTATTATACCATTTTGGAATCTTTGACTTCATCATCAGGACCCTGGACATCATCTAGCACTAAAGTGCTCGAAAAGACAAGTCCAACGAACCCAAACTAGATGCAATTCCGCCGTTTCGTTTAGAAGTTCCTATGGCCACCTCCAGTCTCCATTCAGCTCAATGGTACCATAATATTGCATTTTCATCGTACTTACATAAGTATACCAAAGAAGAAAGGTCATCTATGACCCAGGCCCGACAGAAACGAGACATACCTCAGTTTTTTTGTCATGTCTTAATTAGTTAAATTATATATTTTTTATATTCGAAATCTATGTATAACACCAAAATATTACCCTTTGTTTTTGTTCAGGCGTTATACAAAAACTAATACAAAATGCCTATTTATCACCAAAATTGGTAAATGTATGTACCTAAATGTCTATTACAGCTGCTATGGAATGTATCTAGGTGACCTGGTGATACAGCCGGGTCTGGGTTTTTTTTGTATGGGGCGTGACCGTTCTTCTTTCAGCTCAATCGGTTGAGGAGAACTGGTTTTAAATTCAGTTGCAAGATTTATCCCATACTAACTAACAAGCGAAGTGCTTGTAAAAATGGTACGCATATCTTTTTTGCGACTAGGTTTCTTAGAGTATTATACCATTTTGGAATCTTGGATAGTTGCGTCAACTTTATAAAAAACTTGCCGCAGTAGTGTTCATACTTTTTTTTTACAAAACGATGAGTCAAAGTGGAGTAAAAGTAAAAATCGTTCAAAATTTTAAGGAAATAACATATTTTGATTAACTTTTGTGTAAAAACTGCAAAGATTCTGGGGGTTTTGAGAGTTGGGGTGGACAGCAGCACTACTTAAATTGCCGATACAAACAAAAAAAACAGAAATATTTGAAAAATGGTAGTCGTGGTAATGTAAAATATCATAAGGGGTGTCAATTTTCGAAGAATTTCGTAATTTATTGTCTAACTTAAAAAATAATTGAGATATATTTTTTTCCTTATTTTTCCTAAAGTAGTCATGACTATGTCCATCCTGCGGCGCCGGCTTATCCTTGAATTTTGGGACACGTTGTATAAATGAGAAATCTGATTCTACTATTTTATTAAATTTCACCAATAATTTGAATAAAAACAAAGCCGGCACATTTTATACTTCACTAGGCATAATTTGTAACATAAGTTTTAAAATATATTAATATTGTTTTCCTAGTATTACTTACCACTGTCATATCTAGATTTGCTATTACTCGGTAGATGAGCCCGACTCGGCACCTCTTGGTTATCAACGTGACCAAACGTTCGGAAACCAATCGCAAATTGTGCGTATGGACTGATTTCGTACAGTTCTGAAAACAAACAAGGATTTGAAGTCGGACTTAGTACACAATCATAATCATCATCATCGTCAGGCCATTGTTTCCACTGCAGTAGCACGCATGAACCTCTAAAGTTACCAGAAGTAAATAAAGGATTTAACCTATTCTCCCCACGATAGCTGGAGGGTTAGAAAAGGACTGATTTTCCCATATTATTGAACCTTTTGTAACATTAAAAGATTGGGAACTACATGGCAGATAGTACCACAAAATGGGCAAGGTATAACCACACATTTTAAACTCTCCAACTCTAAGGCCTCAGCCTCGAACTTAGTGGGCAGCGGGGCGGGAGCGGCGGCGGCGCGGGAGCGGGGCGGGCAACGCAGACCCGTTCTCGAAACAAGCGGGCAGCTCGCGCGGCGCTTTAGCGGCGAAATGTTGTGTTCGGGGTTGTGTTGTCGAGATACAATTTGTTTTTATTCGCAAACGAAATGTCTGAACAACGGCGACAATTTTATTTCGATTCAAATTTATTCTTAACGCTCGATTTATTTTGGGCAAAAGAAGGAGTGCGCTGCCCGCTCGTTGCCCGCTCCCTCGCCGCTGCCCGCTCGTTGCCCGCTGCCGCCCCGCTACCGCGCCGCTGTTTTCGAGAACCGGTCTGTTTGATTTTTGGCATAAGATCCTGCTGCTCCCGCGCCGCCGCCGCCGCCGCCCCGCTGCCCGCTAAGTTCTAGGCTGAGGCCTAGATTCAATGTGTCTTCACTTACCATGTTTATTATCAGCAGTCAAATGAACTGGAGTACTATAAACTCTGTTGTTGACTTCGGCTGGCATACTTTGAGGAGTGTTCACTGTAGCATTACTACGTTCGGATTTGCATTCAGCTGTTAATGAGTTACGATACTCTGTAAGATGGCGGTGGCTGTAAAAAAAGGAAAAGAATTTAATGTGAAAACAAAATTAACGCTTCAAATTCTGATTTATCTACTTATTCTGAGTTTGTACTTTGAAGATAATACTTACTTATGTCTCTTCACGAGTATGTACACACAAGTAAGTGAGCAAATCATGAGTAAAATTGAACTGCAGATGATTACCAGCATATTCAGGTCGAAGAAATCTGATGGAGGTCCAATTGACTCTGAAAGGTGAATTGAAAAATATAAAACCCTTCACCACAACATTAAACTCCTTGTTCCATACTCATAAAAGATAACATACCTCCTAGAAGAGTAGTAGTAGCATAATTGTACAAAGAAGTAGATATCCCTGCAGAGTTTTCAGCAGATACCCGTATTTGGTACCACTGGGCTGGTGTCAGATCTCCGATCACAAAAGAGTTCGGTTGGTTGAGGATGGAAGGCGAGTAGTGGCTCCACGTTTGGTCAATGTGAGGCTGGAAAACATAATAATAAAGGTGAAACCTCATCATCATTTCAGCCATATGACCTCCACCGCTGAACATAGGCCACTCCCAATGATTTCCACATTGGCCGGTTGGTGGCGGCCTGAATCCAGCGCCTCCTTTCCTACCCTACCTTTATGAAGGTAAAACCTTCTTACGGACAAATAAATAAATAATTTGAATTTGACTAGGATGTAACGCACAAAGTTAGTTGTAGGGTTTACACTTTACATGCTATTATTATGAACAATCTAATCAAGTACTTGATTTTGATCTTAGATTTCGTCTAAAATTGTATTGGATTAGGTAGGTCTGCCTTCTTTCAATACTCATAGCATGTACCATAAGTACGTAATTAAGTTGGCGAATCAAAGATAAATAAATTGCTTACAAGTTTGTTCTCCGCCCTTTTCCATATTTTTGAACCAAACTCCCTGTAGTCCACTTCAAATCTGGTAATCTCACAGCCGTTGTCGTCCCAACCGCTGAGCTGAATGTACACATGGCTCGCGTTACTCCAGAACCATTCCGTGCTTGATGGGGAGATTGGCACTGGAAATAATTTCAGATCATCAAGTAAAAGTAAAAAAAATGAGCATTAGGTATAGTATGTTTATCTATTACTAAAGCGTTTGTATTGTCTAAGCGTTACATTGTATCTGCATTATTATCTTGTATTTGGTTGGTGCTTTCATTTTGGGAAAAACATTCTAGCATTCTGCTCTTTTATCAGTTTTTCATCACACCTGAATAAACTTGCCTGATACCGATCATGTTGCTCTTTCAAAACTCATTTCAGTCCGCAACTTTAGCTCGTGAATTTTGGTAAATCTATTATAGTTTTGCATGAATATCCATCATAAAAACTTTTGCGTTTAAAATTAGCATAGATGTTTCATAAGAATTTCTTAAAGAATATTGCATTACCTCCACCCAAAGTAGTAGCATCAACATACGCTGGTTGTGACGATCCCACACTGTTGGCAGCCGTCATCCTGATAGAATACTTCGTGCCGCATTTCAGCCCTTGAAGTGTGAACTCTTGGACTCCTTGCAGAGATGTCCCTTTATTTGTCCAGGCGTCTTGCCAGGAGCCGTTGGCTTCTTTCCAGGTCAGATTGTAGTCTGGAAATATCATTTTTTTTTCTATCGTAATTTATTCACAATTTTGTATACTGGTAGAGTGAAACATAGAAGAACTGTATAAAACTGTAGCGCTTAAAATTTCAGACACCAGTTCAAAACAAACAAATTCGTTACAACACTGCACTAATTACGACTAAATCACACGAAAGTGATGATCAGGCTGAAGTTTCAAGAAAACTTCATCCGGAATCTTAATTGTTAGAGGAATTGGCTCCTTCTTCTTGATTTCCGAAACACAATAATGCTCTCAATAACAATTTTGTTATGATGACGGACTTAGGTAAGATGGCGGTAGCTAGCTAGGTCATTAATTTTGTCCTTAAGTCATGGTCGTATCACACAGAGACACACGTCTATTTTTATCACTAATTTGATATAGTACCTAACTAGCCAAGCAGACATAGAACAAGCCCTACCACCAACCAAGCCTCTTGAGTTTGGGACAGTGAACCTGTTTTTTTTATTGGAGTGATTAAATATACTCACTAATCCTCTGCGTCTTCCCACCCACTTTCCTTGGCGGATCCCATCGTAGCTGCAAAGAGTTCTTGTGTGCCACCACCCTCACAGTCGGCGCGTCAGGCGTGGACCGGACTGATACAGCGGAAATACCGAGTCTGAACCGTAGAGGTTCTTGGCTAGACAGTTGTGCAACTACATCGAAGCTCTTGGGTTGCACCAGATAAAAACTTACTCCTCCAGAAGTCTGAACCATTTATGGCCAACAAACTTACCTCCAACTGCCGAAGCATAACAATGCTGTTAACATGGCGACAGACATAGGTAGCTAGCCAGGTGGACTTAGGACAAGCCCTACCACTCACCGAATCAAGCAGAAACTCAAGCCTTTACTGGAAATCGAACCCTCTGGGTCAGTGACTGGTGGTATTACTACTATCCTAAAGGAGCAGTTGACCGAGTGAAGAAGAATGAAGAATCATTGGAGTGATTTCAATATACTTACTAATCCTCTGCGTCTTCCCACCCACTTTCCTTGGCGGATCCCATCGTAGCTGCAATGAGTTCTTTTGTGCCACCACCCTCACGGTCGGCGCGTCAGGCGTGGGTAGGACTGATACAGCGTACGACACCGAGTCTGAACCGTAGAGGTTCTTGGCTAGGCAGGTGTAGTTGCCGCTGAGGGATTGGTCTATGTCTGGAAAAGAAATTATGAGTGGTAAAAATTATTGTGTCCGAACATAATAATATGCAGTCTTCCATTCTATTACTAGCTTTGGTTTCAGCCAAATGACGTCCACTACTAAACAAAGATCTTCCCATCAAAGGTTTACACAACGACCAATCTTGCACTGCCCGCACCCATATGCACCCTGGGATTGTTAACAGGTCGTCGGTACACCTAGTCCGAGGTCTACCTACACTACGTCTTCCGATTCGTAATCGCCACTAGATAACTTTTCTGCTCCAACGGCCCTCAGTTCTACGAGCTCTGTGCGCCATAATATTGATTCAGAAAGTATGACGTATCTAAAAAACTGTAGCTAAAAGTGCACAATGTTTAGTTCAGTTGAACATAATTAAGGCAGATATACAGAATAGTGGCGTTAAAACTTGAAGTCAAATAGGTACTTACTGTTAATAAGCAGGCTATCTTTGGATCTCGTTGAGTGATTTTTAAGACCAGACGGGTGTCGAAACTAAAAACTGGATAATGATCATCATCATTTCAGCCTTAAGACTTCCACTGTCTGAGGTCTCCCCAAATAGTTTACAGATTGGCCGCTTTCTGTTACCTTTATGAGGTCGTCGGTCCACGTCGTGACTCCAACTGGATACTTACTATTGATAAGCAAGCTGTCATCATGGTTCCGCGTGAATCGCGGGTGGTGGGTGATGATGTTATGCTTGTGGTACCACACAGTCCGAGGTGGTGGTACTCCCACGCACTGGCAGACCAGCAGTAAGGAACTACCCACGCCTACTGAGATGGGTCCGCCTAAAGACGCGACGCCGGCTACCACTGGAATTGAAAAGATTCAGAATTTAAATCAAGATTTCCATGTCGATGCTAATATTTATCATTATTTATTATTCTGTCTCATGGCTTCAATGGTGCGTATTTGAAGCACAAAATGCGAAAGTAACACTGTCAATCTATCATCTTTTCACGCTAAAAGCACTGAGATATTAAGACACCCACAGAAAAACACATAGTTCTCATCCCGTGTGAAGTGTTTCTGGGTAAGACCACAATCCAAGCAGGCAAAACTACGAGAAAAGTGATATCGAAGCAAACTAACCTTTCACTACTTACAATGTCACGCTATAAAACAAAATTGTTTTTTGATCAATTAGAACTATTATAAGAACTATCATGCAAATGCATTTTATTTGCCAAATGAATCGGAGAATAAGTCACACCACGCAAATAAGTCTGATGTACAAGTTATAAGGTTGTGTCTATTAATTTATTGATAATGTCATCTTACCTCTAGAAGACAGCTCGGCATGGACCCTGCTGCTCGGCGAGCCCTCCCCAGCAGAAGTATGGGCCCTCACAAACACCTCATACTGCTTCCCAGCCTGTAGCCCAGTAAGTGGGAACGTCAGCTGTTTGGACTGTTCTTGGTTCGCTTCCACTCTGTAGCTTTGGGGGGCGCTGGTACTGAAAGTAATGGAAACATTTGTGAATAAGTATTCGTAAAAAGATGTTCTCGAGTGGCGACCACGAGCCGGAAGACGTAGCGTGGGCAGGCCTCCCACTAGGTGGACCGACGATCTGGTGAAGTTCTCGGGAGGTGTTTGTGGAAATCCTTGGGGGAGGCCTTTGTCCAGCAGTGGACATCCTTCGGCTGAAACGAACGACGGAACGATTCGTAAAAAACATAACTCTCTTTGGTGTGCAATAAAGTGTATTTATTAACTCTCCTTCTGGCACAGTTAAAGTGCCACAACACCGTAAAATATTTACAACGTTGTAAATATTGATTGTCTTCGAGTGTATGTCTTGTTGGTTGTCCTATTAAATAAATAGATAAATAAACACTCGGAACTATGTATTTTGTATATCTCATTGAGTAGGCAAAAAATTAACAATACTGTTTAAAACAAGCTTAATCCATACGATAAAAGCCGTCATTATCTAATGAGCCCAGCAGACCCGATATGGTTGCAGTAAGTCATAGAGGAGTTATGTGATCTACAGGTAGCCCTGGTACCAGCATCGGGTAACTATAGAGGTTTGATATTCGGCCGTTTGGTGTAGTGGTTCAGAACGGACTACTATGCCGAGAGGTCCCGAGTTCGATTCCCGGCCGGGCAGAAATTGAAATGATGAATTTTAATTTCTGTGACGGGTCTGGGTGTAAATATGTATAATATGTATGTATTTAATTTTAAAAAAAAGTATATAAGTAGTATATTCGTTAAGCTAGCACCCATAACACAAGCATTGAGTTGCTTACTTTGGGGCTAGCTGACGCTGTGTGAAATTGTCCAAAGATTTATTTATTTATTATTTATTATTATTATTATTGATATTGAAAAGTTTTCAGCGGTCTTTTCGCAAAGCTGACTTGCATAATCATAATTTTATTTTCTCCGGTATCGTATAACCGTTTTTTGTATGGATTTGCCAGTCTTGACGTTTGTTATAGATAAATGGTGACAATAGTGACTAGGAGTTTCTCCGCTGCTCTTTAGCGCTGGCCTATTTATTGTCCCGAAGCAGTGGTAGGGTTAATACTGGGACGTGAAAAAGTGCTTTTTTAAAGTCTATTAGCCAAAAAAAAAAGAGTTTTTATGTAAAATGGTGCAACCCAGGGTGTGTGTGTGGTAGTGTTTATCGCTAAGTTGTTAAAATGATAATAATAAATTATTTCACTTACCTGGACACTGGCTTGGCGTACACCGTATAGTACATAATTTCCCCATTCGGTTGGTCCGGCCGTCTCCAACTCACGAGCAAAGATGAGGACGATGAGACGACCACTTTGATGGCCGACGGTGGACCGGGCACTGGAAATATTTCAACTAGTTTTAATAGTCAATATTTAAATTAAACGCCCCTATTAGACTGAGAAGACCTCGGATTTAGAGGTCTTAAGTTCAATATCAAAGAGGGCAAAGTTTGAAGTCAAAGTTGTGTTTCGGCAGTTGGTATAGCCAGACCCTCTGTGGTTGAGGATTCATCATTTTCTTCAAGTGCAATGTAGTGGCAGACCTTCCTATAAATTAAGTCTTCCAGCACGTGGTCGCTATTTCAATGTTAGGTATATTTTATGGGTAGAAAATAACTAGATAGACAAAAGACATTGTTCACGCAAAAAATTGGTATTGTGCAGGGATCAAACCCGTGACTTCTGGCATAGTGGTAAACATACTTACCATCTTGCAGAGTAGTGCAGACAATAGGAAGCGAGAAAGGCCCAAGACCGTAGTTGGAGAAACCAGCCACCTTCACGGTGTAATTGGTGTACTTGAGCAGAGCTTGCAGGTACGTCTCAGTGTGGAGTGTGCTGACGTTCTGCCATGGACTGTCTGGAATAAGAAACCAGTCAAGTGTGAGTTGTACATGATCCTTAACACAGAACGAAGATGAAAACGGATTCAATCTCAAGCATAGAAAAATCAATAGATGAAATAGAATCGAATTTTGAGCCTTGTTATGTAATATGGAATTAAAACTTCTGTTATATCCATTTTTGTACTTTGTTCATCATCAATTCAGTCAAAGAATGACAAAGGCCTTCTGCAAAGAGTCCTGCGCTGATCTAGGAAATTCTCGCGACCTTTATCAGACAGGTCCTCCACCAAGGGTACAGAGACTGCCTTTACTATGTCTTCCGGACTGTGATTGTCATTGTAGGTCTTTCTAGCCCCAAAGGCCGTCAGGTCTAAGAGCTATGTGCCACTATTTTATAGAAAAGTAGAAAACATTCATAAATTAGGTCACGAACCTTCAGTCCCATAATAAATAGAGTAGCCCAATAAAGAAGCGCCAGGTGACACGATCGGTTGCCACGATACTCGCATAGAAGATGATGACACGCCACGACATTCCACTCCCGACGGAGGATGTTCGGGAGCTGAAATAATTGATATTGATATTGTAAAATAAGTACTGAATAAATTATTAGATTTGATTTGTAGACTTGGGCATACAAGGTAAGTAAGTAGTAAGGTAAGTATCATCTCAAATTTTTATTCTGTTCTCAAGAAAATTTTACATTTTAAAATCACTTTCAAAAACTGTTTAATGCATAAACTTAAAAAAAAAATACAAACTCATAATAGTTCCTACGATGATTCTAAAAAGACGACGAATTTCATTCATTCATTTCTTACCTCCTTCTCTAGTAGTTTGGTAAACTGGCAAAGAAAATGGTCCGTTCCCAGCTGAATTGAAGGCACTCACAGTAACTGCGTATCTGTAAATAAATTTAAATCACCATCTTCATGATACGAGTATCATGCAACCTTACGCTCCAGGACTGTGAAAATCGCAACTTATGCATGAATTTTGGAACGTTTCAATATTTTAAGTTAATGCCCTGAAAAATCTGCACTTACCTGGTATTTTTCAACAACCCACTCAGGGTTGTTTCTTGTTTCCCTTTCCGCGACATCACTTTCACCATTTTGGTTTGCGTGTCGTTTGGACCTAGAAAATAAAATCGCTTTATCATTTATCAATCCTGTACACAATGGCAATCTTTGTTGCTGCTTTATTCTTCCTTGAAGGATATCTAACACCCATATTCACAAACATTACTATGAGGTCTCACAGTGCACGTGGAAGTACAGGTTGACACACGAACCAATCACAGAGCTCTTTAAACGATGTGCGCTTGATTTGATGCTTCACATAAGCAAGCATTGTTTGTGAATACGGGCGTAAGATCCATCCACCTTCACAAAATTTAGCGTTTTATTGATTACTGGAGTTTTATTTTTTAAGGTCTCGAGTATCTTAATGTCTTGAAATCAAAATCAATAATCAAAATCAAAATTTTCTTTATTTGTTTAGACTAATTAAATTAGTTCTTGCAAATCGTCAAATGCTCTTAAGGAGCCTATACATGTCTCATTCTTTTTTTGCCCTACCAGCGCTTCGAGACAAACATTTGGCAAGTGCTGAGAAGAAGCGCCGCAACAAACTCAGTCACCACCACTGTCTGCCGGTTTAAAAATTTAAAAAAGTAGGAAGTTACAATACATTCAGAAGCAAGTTACTTAGGTACCACGCGCTCCCGTTGATAGAAGGTGGCCTTTAAGACGCCCATCTAGCACGAGACCGCGTGGCAGTTTTGAATACATTTATTTAGTGCCGTGCTAATTTCTAGGTTAATTGTTGCGTTTTGATACATATATATTTTATGTCAGGTATATCTTTCCTTGACCAGTCCCCGAAGGCAGCGCCTGTTCACAGACATGACGTGTGAACCAGCCATCGCTTCACTCGACCATATTATAGGGAATGTAACGACCCGCCTCACACGCCACTACCCCAGCCAGAGACATTTTAGTGAACATGACAAGTCTAAGATATCCTTCTAGCTAAGTGCCAGAGAGTAATATATCGCGGTTCACACCTCCAATTGTGTGGTAAGAGTGGGTTTACCACAATAGTCCAAACAGTGACCGAACTAGCGTTCATAAAATTTTGCTTCGGCCAATATAATGTAACCTTGTTGGTGTTCAAATAAATAAATAAATTAATAAATAATGCCACATACCGATGGGCTATTATCAAAATAAATTCTGATGAATGATATACCTGATTCTCCACTGATCCTCGGGACTGCTTTGACGTGGTATCCCTGCAGCTGGCCGTTGTGGCTTTCCCTCGGTGGTGGGATCCACGATACCAGGAGCTCCCCAGGGATGTCTGTTTGTTGCACTTGTACTCCTAGTGGCGTTGAAGATGGCGCTGAAAATATAAAAGAAATACTTATATTTTAAACATACAACAGTAGCATAATAAAGATGTTTACTTAAAAGGAGGGAAAAAATAAAGATATACTTGAATCCATACTTAAAAAACGACGAACGAAAAAGACACATATAAAAACTATCATGGTTCATTCCACGAGTCCAATCTTTAACCACAACAGTAGAAATGTAGCATATTTCAAATTGTAGATTAAAATTTATTTAAGTACACTACGTACCATCTTGCTGCGTAGTAAAATGTACAGGCTGAGTGTAAGGGCTGAGGTCGACCTGGTTTCCAGAAGCTACTCGGACCCGGTAGTCGACTGCTGGCTGAAGATCCCTAAGCTCGATACTCTGGCGGAGGTCACTATCTTGTCTGGGGATACAAACACATAATATGGATAGTATTATAAAGAACTCAAATCTCGGAATATTGTGAAATTTTGCGTTTTTCTCAAGCGTAAATAGACATTAGTCCACAAACAGGATTCCACCTTTAAGATCCTAGCACTGTGACTGCTGTATTGGGATCTTTAATTTTGCCACCAAGCAGTGAAGTTTAAGAAGTCTTGGGTGGATTGCACTGTCTTGAAATCTTGTCTATCTCGGAGTTTATTTAGCATAACTGAATTTTTCGCTTGTCTAGTTTTCATTTGAATCATCAACAGGTCATTTAGTGACTTTACAAAAGAACAACCTTTTCTAACTCATTTAAACAGAGGCCCGATAATTAGGTCTACACTCATACTGGCCAGATACGTTGGGGTGGCCTGACGTTCTTTCTTTTTTTTTCCCTTATGCCCGTTTTCACCAACAATCCCTAATTTTAAGTGACCCCTATGAAAACAAATCCCTGTTATGTGTTACCATAGGGGTCACTTAAAAATTAGGGATTGATGGTGAAAACGGGCATTAGTCGCTCTGTCGACATCTACGACGATATGATTTATAGTACGACCGCTTAAATGAGACCTCGCATGCGGAACGTTTAACGTTAACCACTTCACTGTGACGTCATATATCTTGAGAATTATCCAGGGAACTTTTTTGATTTTATCTCATGTCTCTCGACTCCACCCGCTTCTTAAGATATGTGACGTCACAGTGAAGTGGTTAACGTTAAACGTGCCGCATGCGAGGTCTCATTTAAGAGGTCGTACTATAGGATGGTGTTACATACCTGGTAATATTGATGCTCTTGGCCGTGTCCCACATCATGAAATCAGTGGTGGTGTACTGCATGGTGTAGTACTGGACATGGGTGCTGATGGTGTCGCGCCATGAGAGCTTGGCTGAGTTGCTGGTGACGGAGTCTACTTGGAGATCCAGGGGTGGAGTGGGAGGCTCTGAAATTGATAATTTGATTTCAGAAAATCATCAGGTCAGTTTAGGAGAGCTGTGTCTAATACCAGAGCCAAGCGTAAGATTTACTTTTCATCGTCAGGTCATTAAGTTACCACTGCAAGAGCAGCATGTCTAATTTATCAGAGACAAATGGAGGATTTGCCCTAATCTCTATAGAGAAATGGATTGGGGAAGCAAGCTAAAATCTTTTCTGATTGCAAGAACTCGCTTAGGCTGAGTTGCAACACCTAACTTTAACAGTAACCATAACGTTAACAGGTATTTTTTGTATGGAGTTTGACAGACTTTTGACGTTGGTTAAAGTTAAAGTGAGATGGTGAAACCTAACCCTAGTGTAGGTGATTTTCTAGTTACAAGTTAACAGTCGAAACTTTCCAAGGCCATCGATCTTAACATTTTCAGTAAGTTGACATGGTTTCGTTCGTTCGTTCGTTTCAGCCGAAAGACGTCCACTGCTGGACAAAGGCCTCCCCCAAGGATTTCCAAGAAGACCGATCCTGCGCCGCTCGCATCCAGGCACCTCCCGCGACCTTCACCAGATCGTCGGTCCACCTAGTGGGAGGCCTGCCCACGCTACGTCTTCCGGCTCGCTATGCTCGGAGTTTCCCAACGCGATCGAATCAGAAATGAGCAAATTCGTAGGAGAACCAGAGTGACTGACATAGCCGCAGAATCGCTAAAATAAAGTGGCAGTGGGCGGGGCACATAGCTCGTAGAGCTGATGGCCGCTGGGGCAGGAAAGTTCTTGAGTGGCGACATGGTTTAACAAAAACAAACTAGGGACATAATATAAATCAAACAGAACTTACTATGACGTCACATGTACAAAACAAAAGAAACTCACCAAGAATATTCAAATTGATGCCATAAGTGGCGACACCGTACGGGTTGCTCGCTCGACACTCGTACGAGCCCCCGTCTCTACTCTCCACGTAGTTTATACTGATGATACTTTTCAAACCATTGTGGGTTAAAGTCTCGGAAACCGTTATTCTGAAAAGATTTATAAAAATAAGTTACGCCCGTATTCACAAACATTACTATGAGGTCTCACAGTGTGTGTGGACGCACAGGGTGACACACGAACCAATCACAGAGTTCTATTCAACGCTGTGCGTTCGATTTGCCGCTTCACTTAAGCAAGCATCGTTTGTGAATACGGGCGTTAGTTCATTTATTTAAACCTTGTTTTTAAAATTTATTTAAAAATTAAATAATAAACTAAGCAAAAGTCTAAAAAGTAAAAACCTCTTTCAGCATAATTTGTTAAAGTTAAAATCAAAATAACAAAAAAAAAGTGCTGCGTTCACTTTGTTCTGACCGCAGACCACAGAACGCATCCAATATTGCAAATCCTTAAAGCTATAATTTTAAATACCCATCATCATTCATGTATTTGAATTTTCCTATCTTATTATGTATTTTCACATTCGAAGAAAAAGCTCTTGTGTTAAAACAAGAACATTAGTCATTGATAAAACTCAATGAATTCAATCAATTTGTGCTGGATAGTTAGGATGCCTTGTTGTTATCAACAGGAGGCATCAAAACTATCTGAACTCCGGGACGCTGCAAGCGCTAGAACTGTGACGTCACTCGCGCCATCTATTGGATTTTCCACGACCTAGATTTATCCGAATATTCCTCAATGCTAGTGCTATCTGTCGGAATTTTCCGAAACTTTATCTCTCTACAAGCATCCTGGATATTTTCCACAACTGGGCGACATCAGCACGCCATCTATATGCATTTTCCGGAACTAAATCATCCTTAGGGAATGCTGTGGGAATACGATGTCATCAAGCTGCCATCTATCGGAATTTTCAAGAACTTAGTTCCAAATCCAAGGGGAACCTAATTTCACTTTCATATTGTTACACTTTTCACACCAAAAACTGTATTTTAGTTCACAATTGAGTCACTAAAAATATTCAATCTTTACTGGTGAAAATTAAAAAAAAATCAATTAAAAAAAAATTAACCACGTTTACGTTTTATCCACGACCTGGCAAAACAAAATAACTTTTTAGATTAATCTCTTTGGATATTACTTTGCAACTTACCTTTAGTGGAGTCTAAAAAATCTAATTAAAACTTCGAAGGAGACACTTGTTTTCTCATAAAATATTAAGTCTTTTGAGGCCAATTCTGCTCCGCTAGAACCAATATATTATTATATTAATTTAAGAAAAACCATTACCTTGAAGAAGTAAAGTCCACCGGCTTCCCGTCCAAGCTCCATTTGACCCTGATCGGACTATCCCCCAAAGGTCGGCAAGTTAACGTTACTGGCAACCCCATCTTCGTCGTCAAATTCGAACCCACAGACTCGAAATGCACCGGCTCTAGAAATAATGTTCAAGTTAGAATAGAACTTAAGGGCCACAGTAGACATGCTACTTTTATCATCGGCGATCGGCGATTCGATTATGCGTTTACACTTATGCATCCACAAGGTGGACCGACGACCTGATAAAGGTAGCAGGAAGGCGCTGGATTCAGGCCGCTACCAACCGTGCGATGTGGAAGTCATTGGGGGAGGCCTATGTTCAGCAGTGGACGTCCTGTGGCAACATCCTGTACAATTAATAAATAATGCGTTCAGACGCGGTATTGGAATTACACGTTTTAGCGACTCTACCGAAGCAGCATCGCGATTTCGTGACTGCTTGCGTTCGGACGCGGTATTAGAATCGTGCGTTAGCGACTGATATCGCTGCATCTAGCTTCCGAAAAGCGACTCAATCGCCGCGCTTGGCGTTTTTAAGTGCATGGAATGTGTGGTCGCTGCATTCAGCTTCAAAAAAGCGGCTAAATCGCCGATCGCCGATGCTAATAGAATGTTTGCTGTGGACCTTAGAATATAACTTAAATTGGCTCCATTGAAGACAATGAGTTATCGAGCAGCTTTGCCAAGAACTGCCGTAATTTCATTAGCTCGATGATGCATTAGTATCGATGGCTTTGTGTGCGAAATGGCGGATATCTTGGCAAACTATTTTTTAATATCCTGGCAATACTATTGAGTAGAATTCGTTTGCTGATTTATCCGTTAGAATAAAATGAAATGTTTAATACACCATTATGCTCGTCGTATTATCGCACAGTAATTAAATATTAAAGAGAACATTGAGTTAAAACAAACCAAAGCTAATTTTGAATCATTAACAAAATCAAAAATATTTAAGACAAAAATGTATAATATTCTAGAAAATAGTAAAGTTTTACTTAATTTCAAATATTTTCTAGGCATCTATCTTAATAATCAGTGTAAAACTCATTTAAGCTAGCTTTTAAATTAACTAATCCTTTATAATGTATGTAAAGTTATCATTGAATCAGCAAAAATACTTACTATTTACACTTATCCACAAATTCTTGTTCAGTGCATCACCAACTCCGTTCTCAACGTTGCAAGCGTACATTCCTTCATCAGTCAGTGATACCACTTCGATGATGAGGGTTCCATTTGGGTAGCTCATCACTCCACCACCAGCCAAGTCTAGCACTGGTCTCCAAATTCCTAGGGTTGCTGAAAAAATTTGAATCTTATTAGGGAGCAGGTAAGTTGTATTTTATTATCTTAATTTTATGTATGTAGCATATTTGTTTTTGTTTTTCCTTTGCTTTCTACATAGTATCGCCAAACGAATTTTTTCTGCTTAACCCGAAGGTAAACTAGTCGAGTATGCCTTTTGGCATTAAGTTCGCTTCATGTTCTAATTGATTTGGCATTAAAGTTTAAATAAATAAGTCAAAGAGAACAAAAAAGTTGAAATGTACGTTTTGAAGACAATTCTGAATAGGGCATTAATGAATTCAAGTTTAATTATTACTTCTTACGTTAAAACACGCCACATAGATACTCGTATGAATAGCAGGGAAATTATTTCGATACCAATTGTTGAATTGTTACTGATTGGACATTACTAACTTACTTTTTATTTTATTTAATTTCTACTAACCTAATACGACTCAATGATGTTATGTAAATTTGTACGCCGACCTTGGGCCAAACATAGTGATACCGACTTAATTTTTAACACCTCGTAATATGTTATTTACCTATGTTCCACAAATAAACGAATTTGATTTGATTTGATTTGATTTGATACCTTCAGGTTCAATTGTCGTATAAACCAAAACCCTACTTTTCAGGAGAGCCAAAAAACGTTTTTTTTTAATAAAAAAATCGTAACTTTTTTATTTGAAAAGTTATAAAAAAATGACCAAGAGAAAACATTTTTCAATTCTTGCGATGAAAAAGTCTAGATATTTAAAAAATGGGTATCTTCAGTAGTTTTAAAGTTAGCTTGGAGTTACGTCCTTAAAAAAGGCACTCGGTGGTTTATACGACCCATTATATTGGACCTAAAAATAACTCTTTACGTCGTATTTGATTTTTTAGTAAACACGAGACTGAAATTGATGGCTTAAAGACCATTAGATGTAATTTTTTTGGTTTATATACCCATTGATAAAGTGATTTATTCAAATGTATTATTAAAACTATTCATGTAAATAATGTATTGTTTACTATTTCCAGGCTTTTGTTGTTTAGAGAATTTGCACAAAGATATTTAACAGTGTAAAAACTATATTTGGTTGAGGTAGAAATAATAAATTTGCTTGCATACGAAAAATAACAAGTTTATTGTTTTTTTTTACAATTTTGCAGGAAAATTATGGCAAAACTAATAATTTTAAACAAAACTAATCACCATACATTTTGAACAAAAAAATACAATTACAGCAAAACATTAAGACAGCTTTCCTGGTTCTCTGCTGACGCATATTGAATTCGTTTGGTTATGATAAATTTTGCATAAAGAGAAGAGCCCCAGAATGCTCAGGAGAAGGATTTGTAATTTTTTGAGAATTTCTCTAAGGAATTTATATCTTTACAAGAAACCCAAATTTAAATTACAGCTAAAAGTAAAGGCTAGATGACAAAATTTCAATTATTTGTCCGTCAGACAGATAATTAGAAAATATTAGACTCATATTTTTTATTTTCTTTCATAATTAAATAATAACAGTGCTACATCGAGTTGAAATGGCGCGATACGTCACGCTAGAGTAGAATTTTTACTCAAAAGTGACGTCACGCTACATTTTAACTCAATATAACACTGTAATTATTCGATTATGGAAAAAAAATATGAGTAATATTTTCTAATTATCTGTCTTACGGACTAAATAGAATTTCGATTTCATTACCTAGTCATCATCCCTAATAGTACTTGTAAAGTAATAAATTATTACAGAGCATATCAAAAGGGTATAAATAGCCTTCATGAGCACACTATGGCTTGTTTACTTTGTTTAAAAGTCTTGAATTCATCACATTTAGTCGAGATCAAATGTACTGGACCTGGAAAGCAACCTTATATACCTATCTATCTAGTTATTATCTTTAAAAGTAGAAACAATCAACGTTATTTAACTTTTTAATTAAGAAAAACTTACTTACTGTCCATACATACATATGTGATGCAATAAACAAATGAATATGAATATGAAACAGATAATTACCATATTGAATACGTGGACTTACGACTTTGGATCCAAATATCTGGCCATATGTCTTTGGGCGTAAAAACCATTTTCAATTACGAGAGAGTTTTACATCCTGGCTTAAAAAAATGTATGGTTGATACATCTTAGCAAAAATACCAAATACAAGCATTCGGTTTTTACATCGTTTATAAGGTATTTATTTATCTTTTAGGCTATAGTTTTTTGGGGCGTATAAACATTTTTTTAGCGAATTTCAATATATCGAATATACAGATCGATAGAGAAAAAAATTCTGATTAAAATGGTATATATAACTCAATTTGGCCAAAATGGTTTATACGACAATTGAACCTGAAGGTGTCGATTTATTTTAACATAAGCCTTGGAAGCTCACCACAATTAGAATGAATGAATAAAATAAGTTTATGTTTAGTTTGTAAATAAAAAGAGTAGTATGAGTAAAAGGGGTTACGATGATAGTAAAAAATTATAAATTCAAAATTCTAACAATATTCTCGTTCCATTTGCCCGGGAAATAATTAATATTTCCTCTAATTAACTTATTAAAACATTTAGAAGTGTTTTGCAGGGTATATTTAATTTTAAGCCTATTTTGGCTCAAACCTTGGAAATAACATCATTACTCGAGTGAAGTGAGTACTTAAAGTACCTACTTTCAGTAATTAATCTTGTTCTAAAGTTACTAAAATAAATTAACTTGAGAGTTAAATACGCCGAAAAGTGAAACACTTGAACAAAAGGGAATTAATTTAATTAACTTGAATATTATTTTTGTACTACGTAGGTAATCATATTTTTGGCATACTTTTATTTATTAAAATAGATTACTAGTGTTAAATATCTATTTCGGTCAAGAATATCAATACAAGGCAACAATATAAAAAATCTTTGGTTATTATTTAAAAAAAATTCTTAATAAGTAAAGAGTTTAGAGGTTGTTTGTTAAGTTCCATAGGCCACAAATACGTTTCTGCATCGTAATTAGACGTTAAAGAAAAAAGAAATGATCCCATAATTATTAAATTACTTTGGTTTTTGTAGGTTAAGAGTTTAAAAAAAAATCTATATTCGATGAAGTTCACATGGCTTAGCTTAAAGTGCGATCATTTTTGAAAAAAATGCTGTTGCTATAACAAATAAAAAAAAAATACAAAACACCACTTACCATCTCTCTTCATCCAATGTATCTGAGGCATAGGATACCCGTTAGCATTGCAGTAGACGATGCCACGTTGGCCCAACAGCAACGATGTATTTGTCGGCTCGTCTATCCACTTTGGTGCCACTAAGGAACGAAAAAAATGTTTAATTGTAGAGAATATTGTACCGTGAGATTAATGAACTCAGTCCGTATTACAAAAGCTTGTTACAACCTGTCATAATATGCTCTAAATATTGAAGTTCGATCATTCAAAAGCCTATTCTTGAGATTCATTCTCTAATATGAACCTCATAGTTAATAAGCTTATAGGATTCTACATTTACTAGCAATGAGTTCTTATCCTGCATCACAACTCTTCATCCATCTATCATAACTTCCTTCCACTCAATCCTTTCAAAAACCAATTCAGAGCTACGAGCGTTTCAACAAAAGCCTTCACTACAGTTTACCATTTATAAACAGGTCCGCAGTCTGGTTAACTTTTCCAACGTGGTTCGTGGCTATGCACGTATACTTCCCGCAGTGTTCGAGTGCAACTCGCTTTATTATTAAAACGCTAAATAGCTCTGCGCTACGCTCCGTGATCTGGAACAGAATGGGGGTTACGCAGGGTGCACTTTCGGAGCCCATTTCCTATTCTGTGAAAGTGAATCTGAAATTCATTGGAGGCATTATAGGGAGTTTTTATATTCTCACTAGCTGTGCCCGCGACTTCGTACGCGTGAAAACCCGTTTTCTCAACCTTTTTCATTGTTGCTCTGCTCCTATTGATTGTAGCGTGATGTTGTATAGCCTTTAGCCTTCCTTGATTAATGGGCTATCTAATACTGGAAGAATTTTTCAAATCGGACCAGTAGTTCCGGAGATTAGCGCGTTCAAGTAAACAAACAAACTCTTCAGCTTTATAATATTAGTATAGATTTTTGCCATACTACATCATTATTTTACTATTAGATAAAAACAAATGCTTGATAAAACCAAGATCAAAGGTAGACTGGTCTTTTATAACTTTTCTAAGAACATTATAATTTGACACTATTAATAATTGTAACGAATGCAGTTAAAAAAATAGTATTCATAGGTCAATTTATATGTTTCATCAAGTACCTTCAAATTAGCAGGAATCTTTTTCCCATCCTTCAACCAGGAAAAGTAAATGGGAGGATCTCCACTTATGATGTTGCATGTGATTTGTACAATCTGACCTTCTTTCAAACCTGATCCAACTCTTAGTTCATCCAGCTCTGGAGCTTCTACCACTTGAATCTCGAAGGACCTGTATAAATAAGTTTATGAAATTATTTCCATGAATATTTTTCTAAGAAACTTGTGGTTCCCTTATCTTCATGAAATTGTTTTTCCCTGTGGTTCTCTTTTAACGTAATTCAAAGTATTTTTTCGCTTGTAATATGTAATATTTAGTTAGCAAGCCAAGTATTTCCATTGAATTTTGCTTAAGTTTAAAGTTGCGAAGTTAACACTTTTAATTAATAATTCCAACAATAGCAGCATGATAAATAAATACATATTTCGACAATTTCACACAGCGCCAGCTAGCCCCAAAGTAAGCAACTTAATGCTTGTGTTATGGGTGTAGCTTAACGGATATACTACTTATATACTTTTTTTATTTTTAAATACATACATATTATACATAGTCACACCCAGACCCGTCACAGAAATTAAAATTCATCATTTCAATTTCTGCCCGGCCGGGAATCGAACCCGGGACCTGTCGGCATAGTAGTCCGTTCTGAACCACTACACCAAACGGCCGACAAAATGCCGACAAAAACGGCCGACAAAATAATATCTACTCATTCGTCTTTGATTGCCAAAATGTATAATATCATCAGAGAAGCATTAGTGATGCAAATCGCTCGTGCTTCTGCGAATATCGATATTGTTATGTATTCCAGTAATCAAGATTAACCTATAAGCTCGAGGCAACCGACTGAAATGCAGTGCATTAGACTATAGTTACGTAAGCTACTGAATATCAACTGAGAATAGCTTTATTGACACTATGGTTTTATTGTCAGATATTTGAGCAAAATGAAGACCTTTTTGAAGTTAATTTGGGACATCCTTAGTCTCTCCTTATGTCAACATTTTCGATAGCAAGTCTCAAAAAATATACCTATTTAGACCCACGTGTCACCTAATGGGTCTATCTACGAGTATGTATCTGTTACGCATTCTATGATAGCTCTTTATTCAGTCCTTATTCTAATTATCACACACTGTTTCTTTAATCGACAGTTTTACTTTAAATACAATTCGACTCTAGTAATCAAATTGGTGACACGTGGAGCTACAACAAATTGCAAATACTTGCCGTCACTATCGACAGTCGACAGTCTAGTAGCATATCGACACAGCATCACAGCACTACTCATACGACCTAATTACCTAGCATACATAAGTAGCTCTATAGATATACCACTTCCAGTGCAGCTCAAGACAATACAACCTATCAATGTTTGGCACAAATTGAAATCTAGGCAGCTTAAATGAGACACGTATAGTTGTTGCTGAATGTAGTTTGTATTACCATTTTATAGGTATAGCCAGGCCTGTTCATCTCCGCGAGTTTGCATCGAAAACAAAACACGCGTGACTACCCCTCCTGAGGTACCTAATCGACAGGACAATCACGAGCGAGTATTGACGCACGCACGTATTCTTCACCCATTTGCATTGTAAAGACAATAAACAATTTGTAAAAACGATGGTGTAATTAATACTCTGCAGTATTTTTAATTGCCTGAATAATATTAGAAACACAAAATATAATTCAATCTTATTCATGTATTTCCTCCGCCATTTTCCGCAGTTTGGCACCTCATGTCACACATCATTTTACCGAAGTCAGCCCTATGTCTTCGGCACAGTGCCGATCACTGACGTTTGTCAACAAAATGGTGCTTGACTCTTGAGACAAGCTAAATTACACCATATTGTTAACGACATTGAGCATATATTTTTTTAAATAACTTCGCGAAGAAAATCTTCTGTACGAAGTACTTATTATTATTCTGTGGTATACCGCTTAATTGAGTCAGCGGCTGAGGTATGGGCTTCTTACCTCTGCTTCTTTACACAGCATCAGTAAATCGGTGAAACTTACTACGAGGGCTTGATGCCTACCTTTCGCTCAGCAGCGAATTTGCAATGAAAAGATTCTCCGACAACTGCGTCTGATAACTTCATGGATATTCAAACTGCCTGTGTCTGAAAGATCTGTTCCATTTGTCTCTAATTTGGTATCCAAAAGGAAGCTATAAAATTGCGGCATTTGTCCCTATAAAAAAGATGTTTGTTCCTCGTGTAAAATACCCATTTGCAACACATGCTCAATTTAATGTTTGTCGAAACTGTTTAGTTAACCATTAAAGATATGTTATTTCATAGCATTATACTTAAACCCTTTTTATTAAATAATGTGTTTTATTCAATAATCCGCAAGAGTTATGAAGATATACAAAGTTTTATAGCAGGGTCAAAATGACCCTTGAGTAGTGACCGTGTAAAAAATATTTTTAGTAGTAGCCAAGGGTTAATGTAATAATATCACCCCTATTACCTACTAAAGCTGTATAAGATGCTACAGCGTTTACTTTAGTACTGCCGAATGTAATTGACTTATCAATTAAATCCTTCCCTTCTTCGAATATCTTGAGCACATGACACATAACAAGGGCGATAAACTTTGACTAAAGTCAGCAAATGGATTAATGAAATTAGCTACTATTGATTTACCAATTACGAACGCTCTAAAACAACATTCGATTATGAATCTACACAGAGCGGTTACTCACTTCGCCCGATCCGAATTTTATTTACTTAGGACGGTCAGTAAGACAGACAAACACAAGTAACACAAGTAAAGGAAAATACATTTGTCTTGAATTGGTGCTATCTTAATTGCAGGCAAATTAAGTTACAAAAGTGTCAGTTTTTTCAGTTTTTGATCCGAGATCGTCAAAATAAGGATCTAGAAAAGTACTAAAGAAATCGGATGAAGAGAACCGGATCTAGTGAGTAAACTTAGTCTAGGCGCAGACCACCGATTTTTAGTTGGCTGATAGTTGAATCGGGCTGTTGATAAGTATGGAGATGTATGAAAGTGCGCACATTACACCGATTTGGTATCGGCCGATTCTTCATACAAATTGAAATCAGGCCCAACTATCAGGCAATTAAAAGTTGGTGGTAGGCGCCAAGGCAAGCTACTAACACAGTTGTACGATTATGCCACGCCTCTGATCGTTGGGTTTTTATTGGCAGTAAGGTGTAGATTCTGGCTACACAGAAGTTGCAGCTGTGGGAACAAGAGGTGGAAATAGTCCCAGATTTGGATGAAATTCTGACGCAAACTGCTCTCACACTCAAAAATAAAGCGAAGAATGTCTAAATATAGAAATTCAGTCAGGCTTGAATGTAATTTGAATATTTGAATCAAGTTGAGCGAGATTTCATTAATCGTAGGTTCCTAAATATAAAATAAAAAAAGTTATTTTTAGATACGCCTACTTACCTGTAGGACACAAAGAGTTGTAGAATTATTTTTCGGTACTAAGCTATCAATTATTTTACAATTTTGCATCCTATTTGTAAGAACCGCTTATTATTGGGAAATTATATTATTGTACTTAGAAAATCGCAGGTTTACTTGATTATTAAAATTTAATTATGTAGGTACCTCATTCGACTGGATTGGAATATTTTGCAATTAAATCTGTTCTAAAGACAAAAATCTACAAGAAAATGAATCAAGGAATACCTTCTCGCCATCTCTCCTGAAGGACTGTACACTATGCATGTGTACGTGTCCCCATTCTCCTCTTTCACCACTTTAGCTATGTTCAAAACCCCGTCTTCGCCCGGCTCGAATATCTGCCGTTTCCTGCGTCTCCTCTTGACGTTGCCAGTGCGTTTGTATCGACTGTGCTGGGGGAGGTTGGTGCTGATTATCCTTTTTCCTTTGTGTTCCCAGTCTAGTTTACTAAAAAAGGACAAAAATAGATTAATAAGGCTATCAGGTAAAGCATTATTCTTCAGTAATTGGTACTGTATTAACGTTTATTAAGTCAGGGAACAGAAGAATAATAAAATTCCAACGCGTCGAAATTGATTAAAAAAAAAACTACGCCACCGCGACCTAACCCAAGACAGCGCTTGTAGTATCTAGTAGTTTTCAAAATAAAAACCTTTCGATCGGTTCGAAATAATTATAGACTCGAATAATTTATTCATAATGACAAAATAGATTTTTTTTTGAAATTCAACAAAATTTTGGCAATACAAACTGTAAAATCGTAATAAATATTTTTTTCTTTCTAAAAATATTTGTATTCGTGGTGATAGAACTTAAACGACGATTAGTAATTTGGTGATAGCTACATTCATTATTATCCGTAATTATGGCAATAATTATTTCTCCATTCTAATTAGCATTACTAGTTTTAATGAAAATTGTACACAATATACCTAAGTAACAGACAATCAAGATAAATTAGTCCAATTTATCCATAACCGATTTTCAGCTTAACGTCACAAGAGTTAAGTTTCATTTTCGCAATCATTTGCGATGTCAATTTAGATTATAGTCCCGGAAAGCAGATCAGTGGGCCAGAAATCCGATATGACATCAATTATGTTGTGAATACATAATGTAGTAAACAATAACGAGATAAATATGAAATACTAGCTGTTGCTCGTGACTTCGCCTGCGTAAATTACTTTCTGTCACAGAAAGCTCTGTTTTCAGGTTATTTTGCCGTGAAATTTGGTCTGTCTGAGAAAAACTTTTTCGCGCGTCCCTGTTTTAAACCCGGATAAAAACTATCCTAATGTCATTTCCCGGGAATCAAACCATGTCTTACCAAATTTCATCAAAATTGGTTTAGTGGTTTAGCCATGGAACAGCACCAGACAGATGGAGATTACTTTCGCATTTATAATATTAGCCTTCCTATACCCGCGCGTTGGTCTCTCAGACCGACGAACTAATAATTCGGAGATTTTTCAAAAAGTATTAACTTTATGACTTTGCGGTTTTTAGTAGCTTCATGATTTGTGGCCAGCCATTGTTTAGTGTTGGGCGATCGCTGCTGCCAAGTGTATGTGTGTCACTTTTTGCTGTTATTCGGTCTGTGAGACCGACGCGGGTATACGTGTAACTACTTCAGGTATGTTACTATTGTTTTATTTTACAATATTACTCAATAAACTATATTGTCATATTTCAGTGACGTTTCATATCAATCAAGTATTGCTGTATTTTATTATTATTAATTTGTTTTAACCATTTTTGTCGTCATAATGAACGAAGAAAGGATAAGGGCGCTGTTATAATGTGAAGATTCGGACTCCAACTATGATGACCAGAGTGACAGTGATGAGGTGGTGGATGATTTAGAAGTGCAGGAGTACAACACCGATTCTGAGCAGAAGGGTGATTTGTCACATGCAAAAAGTATTTTTGTCATTATACGAGCATGCAGTAATGTTATGTTCCGGTTATTATTCCACTGAAACCACTAGTGATAAATACTGTTTTGTTCTTTTATATTACTAAGGACACTTCCATTTATTATATTTTTCAGTAATTTTTTAGGCTTCAAAAGAAAAAAAGATTATTTATGTTATTAAATTTAGACTGATGTAAAATTTTGTTTAAATTTTAAGTCTGATTTAAAGGCTGATTAAACCAAAATATATATAAATATAAAATCTGTTTTCATTTTTTTATGCAATTAATACCTTAACGTATAATTTAAAGCAAATTATAGTACAATTCAGTACACAATTATACTATAAAACACGAGCTCAACTTTCGGTCTGAGAGACCGTGCGCGGGTATATGTGTAATGCTTTTTGGCGCGGGTATACGAAGGTTAGTAGAGATAGGGATATTAAATATGAAACTTAGTTCTGTTTATTCGTTTGGTACTTTAAATTCTCATCTGTTAAACCGACGTTCATATTTTGATACAGACATAGATAGGACCTGAGAGAATTAGTTTTGTCACATAAAGTTGTAAAGGTGGAAATGATGAATTGTTTTTAATTTGTAGACAATACAGATATGAAAATTCATAAATGTATATTTTGGTACAAAACAAAAGTTTTTTGGTCGCGAGAAAAAGAATTTAGATTTTCGCAAATAAATTCTATTGGCGTAATGAAAGAAAGAAGGAAACAAAAGTCATACCTTATAGGATACCCATAGTACGGACATCTGAGTTTAAGTGGTTCGCCACTCTGCACTTTTATGGGTGGCAGAGTCCTGATGTATGGTGGTCCTGAAAGAGAATCATCATTAGGGGTTTTTATTTTCCAATGCAAGAGAACGACCCTCTTTAGTTTTCGATCGATGGAAAATGGAGGATTTGGTTTAAACTCCGCCATGCTGACCAGGTGGATGGATGATGGAAAGGCCTAATACTCCCTTAACGACTTTTATTATATCTATCCGAACCAAATAAGTTAAATTAATTACTTACAATTTATTCTACTTCGTAAAGTAGGTACTTTATGGATAAACGCTTAACTCAGTCTGTATCTGAGGTATGAAATCGGCACGGGAGAGATGAAATGACAGGAGATGGATGGATTGGAGATTTGAAGTCTCGCTGACGTTTGACGTTACATAAACACCATCCCGTGCCGCTCCCATAGTTCAGGCACTGAGTTAAGACCTATTACTTTTCTTTCTTTTTCTACTTTTGGTGATTTTAAAGATGTGGAAGTGCTTTGCTTCACTCACCATAAATATCAATCCTAGCTATGTGCACAGCGCTGGAATCACCCTCAATGGCTACACATGAGTACAAGCCACCATCTTCCACTCTGGTCCTGGTGATGTTCAAGTGTGACACCACTCCAGCGCCTGACGGTGACATCATTTGACCTAGAGTATACCTAAAAATAAGGATAATATTTAGAAATCATCATCATGACAGCCACAGGATTGTTGAAAATAGGCCAATTAAAAATCCTCCAATGATTTTCAAATTGGCCCCCTAGAAAGCCCTCATGGTAGCCTTAAAAGTTTGTGTTAGGTACCTGTGGATTAAATTAAAATTTAATGTACCATATAACTTAGCGGCGGTGGGGTTTGAACCAGCTTTCTTCAGATCTCGAGTCGGCCAGTCTTATACCTTCACCGTCCGGCTATCGTCGCTTTATTCACACAAGTAATGTTACCTAATTTAAAAGCACTGGTGGTTATTAAAATTATGTTTGTAAACCTTTGAGCTTTTCTCTCAAATATTATAATACGCTGCATTTTCACTGCAAACATCGTGAGAATGCGCGTTTAAAAATTAATTGCGACTGAGTGTCCCGTCATGATGGTCTTCCACTAAATTGCTCCAAAACACACCATTTTGCCACATTTTGGCATCGCAGATTAAGATAATGATAAGTAATTGATGCCTATTTATCTCCATTACACGACGTTTCTGAGTGAATGCGGCTGTATAATTTAAAGCATAATAAGCTTCCTTAATGTCGCCTTAAGTCTTTCTTTACCGCTTATTTGGCGTGAGGATTTAAATGATGACGTTTATATTTGGAGGATTATCAGCTTTGTCATCGTTAGGGTGTTTGTTATGAACGTCATAATATTTTAAGCCATCACTTAACGTTCCAATTCTAGTAACAGTCGTTTTGGATCTCATTGTGATGTACTTAAAAGCTATATTTTAGTTGTAATTTTGCTATGAACCTTGTCTGGAATAATGTTATCAGTTTCTTGAATAATGTTACCTACCTACCTCATTACAAAGTACTGGTAGATAATGTAATTTTTGTAAGGCATCAGCAAAAGACATTGTTTCATAAATTAAGCAAGAACCATAATGTCAGCTCCTAATGCTGTAATATAGTTTGAAGACAATAAGGACATTAGACTAAAAATATATAAATATAGGAACTTAGAGCAAAAAATATTTCAACAGAGTCTTTATACCTATCACTTTATATGAAACAATAATGAAGACAGGCGCTCGATAAAATTTGAATAATAATGCAAATACAAGTAACAGACTGTGTAAGCTTAACCACCACTCTTACCGCATCTTAGCGGCTGACTGAATAATGTATTGGTTCAAATCTTGGTACATAAATTGAAATTGATTAACGAATTGAATTGAAAATGAACGAGCTGCTTTACTTTCAAGCAAATGTCTACCTAGAATTGTAATAAAATTGAGTCTATATGCGTGATCGAGTCAGAAATAATGATATTCGTATATTAATGTAACGTACTGTGGACAAGCCTCCAAGTAGGACCGACGATCTAGTGAAGGTTTCAGGAAGCATCTGGATGCGGGCAGCGCAAGAAAAGTCTATGAAATCCTTGGTAGAGACTTTTGTCCGGTAAAGGACGTTATTTGACTTGGATCTATAATGGTTTTCTTCCTTTCAAAGAGGCCGAAAAAGGTGACTGACTGTTTTTTCCGTCACTTACTTTATGGCTGCCGCGACACAAGCACAGCTTAGTGCAGCAGCCGCTAGATAAACACTGTAAACTTTTTGTTGCCAAATAAAATACTTTTTACTTAATTTTTACTTTTCTTCTTCTCAGCACCAGCCTATATCTTGACCTGAAGTTGTGGTATGGCAAGCTATATTTGGGACGTGTATGAGCGCCCTGGAAAGGGCCTAAGTACTGAATAACTTTGCCTTTAATTCTTCTGACAGATCATCTCACCTGGGTTCAGTGTTTGAAGAAATAACAACCCCATCTCTCTCCCAAATGAACCTTGGAGGTCTAACTGCGGTGGCGGAGCATTGTAAACTTATCTGCAAGAAAGTGAAGCAAATTATAAAACTGACAATAAAATTGTAACTCTATAATTACAGTCATAAAGTTCAACATTATTGTAATCCATCATCATCGTCATCATCAGGTCACTGTCCCAACTGGAGCACGACCCTCTCTAATTTAGCAGAGGCAAATAGAGGATTGTGTCTACACTCTCTACGCTACGGATTTTAATCTACTCTCTCTCCTACAACTTATATGATAGTATAGTTCTTGCAACTCACGAAGGCGAGTGTACGTGTACATGCACATAACGATAGTGTAATGTCTATCAAAACTTTTGAAAAAGGAACTGTGATGAGCCACCACATAATATGTAAAGCTCGTGAATTGCAACAACTATAATTAGTTAAAAAGACATTTTATATCATGTTTAGGTACAGTGATAACTCATCCATCAGACGAATACTTGTACACTCAACAGACTTGCATTGTTGTAAAATCGCATCTATTGCGACTACGTAAAGTACCACAATTTTTATTTTGATGTGCCATCGTACCTACATCAAGGAAAGTGTAATTTACGAGCAGGCGTCACAGAAAAGTGTGTAGGGGGGCAAAATGTTCTTTAAATGACAAGAATTTCCATAATAACCTTTATTAAACTAACCTTATTGGGAATATTAAAAATGTCTTCTTATTTCGGGCAAAATAATAGTTATGTAATTCTTCTCGTACAATACGAATGATAAATGGACGGATTCCTGAAGATGTGCGACAGAAATTGTTAGAGCGATAATTTATAAAAGTGTGAAAGAGACAGGGTAAATAATGATTTTATCTTTTAAGAAATTGTAAATGCGAATGGAAAGATGGAAGATAAAATTAAATAAAGGAAAATAATATGGAAGACGAAGAATATGTAGAAAAGCGATCCAATCTAAGATATAATGTTATTGATATACATAATTTACTATTGTTTCAACCAATGCTAGCGACAATAAGGCCTCTCACGGTAAGTTTTTTTAACCGTCCGGCTAAAACGCCGTGGTATTTGCCTCAATTTATGTCAACACAGTGATCTAAACACCACTGGCATCCGTGCCTACGTAATGTGACTTACCCGTAGATTTTCACGGCGAAAAAACGCCTAAGACATTAATTTATCAGTTCTCCGAATGACGATGCTGTTGCTAATATTATGTTACACAGTAAAGATGACTCTTCAATCTCAATTCTCATTTCAACGAATTACTTTAAGATTTTATAGATGACATCTGTCGAACTGAATCTAACTTACATTACTAAGTTTTACAATTACTTTCTAGAATGAATTTGTCTGTATGTATCATAATAATTAAAGAAAAACTGTAAAGTCCTTTTAAGTAAAAATGCTCCTCTTAATGACTATGATCCCAATCAAAACTCCCGATTCCATCCCGATTGGCCTTCCACGCTGATTCCCCAAAAAATGTCCAACCGTATACAAAAACTAAAAAAGACAAAAACCATTTTCAAACGGTATGAAATTCGCACACGTTTTAGGTGACAAAAATTCAGACGGCAGATTCGGCCTTTGAAATAAAATACGCAAAAACAAATATTTTTGTATTTCCAATACACAGCGGATCTATTGCGAGATGGTAGTGCTATGAAGGATCTTGTTTCTTCCATTTTGTCGAGAATTTGGCAAACTGATGGCGTTTGCTTTGTCGACTTGAGATGTGGATTCAAGAAGGAAGTAAGTATCTTTAATGGTTTTAAGAAAAAAATATTGTTGATTGTTGTGTCATTATTAATTGATTTATTGTGTTAGCTAGTACATGAGTAAAGAAAAGATAAAAAAGAATAATAGAAAAGATTGGGCTGTGGTCGGGCCTGCGTTTGAGACTAGGTCTTAGATTCAAAAACAAATAAACCACGAAAACTTATAAAATATGTTTTTGGGGTCATAAGAGATAACATGAGACTAACAACTAGTCGTTCTGTACAAAGTTTGCGACAGCTTTTAATCTGAAATAGTTTCGCTCTAGCTTATCGCTCTTTCCTTACAAGCAATTATAATGATAATTCTGATTCTGATTCCCGGAGGCATTCCGCTTTCTATTGGATGTGACGATTTTTTTCATTTAATCATATCGACAGAACATCAAGATAAACACTGTAGCTTCTTATGTAGTTGTAATAGCTCTTATTTTGCAACAAAATGTGATATCTGTATGTAGCTAATAAACAATTTTAATAACAGAAACTTTTGAAACTAATAGATTCTTAACTGTTCTATGTTTACTAGGTAGATAGGTAATGTTATGTATAAGGACTAAAGAACACCTGCTTCAAAGGTCTTTGGACACCAATTTTAGGACCAAATAGCGAAATTCCAAGCGTCTGATATTGGTTTATGGTACCTAATATGCATCAATATTTTAAAATGCACTTCAAAGCTATTCAAACTCTATTTAATATGGAATCCAAGATCAGGAGGCGTATTTTCGAACCATTCGAAATCATAATCGCATACGAATTTTAAAAGCTCTCTTTTCGAAAATCCATTCCGTGAATTTTGCAATTACTCGCAGTATAGGCTCGTATATTTTAATTAGGTATACGTACTGATAGAGATCACGATCGAATTACATTAACAGTGTGCCTACCATGAGTTTACGTTAGGTGAGCTCGCTAGCGAATACGTCAAAAAATTCTATGAAGATTTTATTTCTTGAAAGTAGCCGCTAGGGGCGCTGCACAATATGTCATACATTTAAATGTCATTTTTTTACGCAGTCGCTAGCGAGCACACCTAACGTAAACTCATGGTAGGCACACAGAATGTAATTTTCGACATTGACAAATGATGAAAAGCAAAAAGCGCAAGGATATCATTGACTGTGATACATTACCTGGTTTTAATTTATGTGCGTTCCTTTCCACGAAATCTTTATTTGAGACCCAGTAAGGGGTCGAAGTCAAAACGAGTAATTGAGCTCAGGTTAACGATTCTGCGTGTAACGAATACGGTGAAAGAATTTTGTTTAAAACTTTTCGAGTGGTTTAAAAATACTTGCAAAAGAACTTGAGATAAAATCGATACCATTCACGTCATATTTAGTGAATGTTTTACATTCATTTATTTAAACAATTTCGCTTTACGTTATTCGTGATTTCAATGAGTCACAAATTCAGTTTATTTATTCATGAACCTTTCTTCTTTAAACCAATATCACATTTCATATTTTGTTTCCAAATTATTTCCAGAATCGGCCCTGTTTAACCAGCTGGTGCCTTTTTAATAAAAATATTATACTTACATCTTCGCCAGGTGTCACAATTTTCTCGCTAAACCTCTGAGTTATCAAAACATTCGCTCCGAGATCCCTTTTTTGTCTAACAAACTTGACTCCTGGAAAACACAAAAAATATAAGCCTATTTTTCTCGATGCGGGTAACATTATACCCAAAGCTTTTTACATAAAGGGCACTATGAAAGATTGTGTGTGCGGATAGGGATATGTCAAGAAAATGTGTATTGCGGTACAATACATCATACGCCATGTTAGCTTGACGTAATTTAGCATAAACAAACGTAAATGCGAACTATTTTTGTGGGTAGAGAGGGTTAGGGTTTGTCTTGTAACAAATAGAGCAGATCTCTTTTGTTTAGTTTAGTTTAGTTTTGTCAGGATATGTTAAAAGAATGACCCATCATGGTCAAGAATAACGCCCGTATTCACAAACGATTCCTGCTTAAAGTGAAGCAGCAAATTGAACACACAGCGTTGAATAGAGCTCTGTGATTGGTTCGCATGTGACCCTGTGCGTCCACGCGCACTGCGAGACCTTATAGTAATGTTTTTGCATACGGGTGTAACGTCGTTAGATAAAAAATAAAGCAGTACTGAAGGCTGAAGAATAAAGATAGCATAAGTACTGTAACTTTATTACTTAGGTTTCATCTAGGAGGTCTGCCTACATTACGTCTTCTGGCCTGTGGTCGCCACTCGAGACCTTTTCTGCCCCAACCAGCCAGAAGCCAGCATTCCTTTTTTAAAAGATTTAGTAATTTGTTATTGCACAAAGCGGCGCCGGGGACCGAACAAGCGTTCCCCAGTTCACGAATTAACGAGTCGACCCCTTCACCGTTCGGCTATCGTGGCTTCAGTCGAGCGGCGGTAGGTACCGAACCATCATAGTTCTACGAGCTATGTGCCCAAGCCATTGCTACTTATAGTCAATTTATGCTGTAATGTTAGCTAATACGAAAGCACCTGCTGTTCAAAATTTATTGTGCACATCAAAGCTCATTTAATCGTTAAATCAATTAAGATAACCGCGTGATTTGGCACCGCCCCCGCGGCACTGGCGGTCGGTGCCAAACGGGTTGCATTAGTATGTACTGATAAAACAAACAATGTGCCCAAACTGATTCTAAAACGGTAAAGGCAGCCTAAAACTATGAACAGAAAATTAGAAAGGCAAACGTAATGTAGACAGGCCTCCTATAACATACACATAAAATTTAGGCTCAATTTTCACCAAAGCGGAGCGGAGCAGAGAAGTTTGTTGAATAACCAATCAGATTTCATTATGAAGAAGAAGAAATGTTTATTCTGTATCATCGACAATACACTTAACTTACAGCAACACCTAAAAAATATTTGACGAGTAGGTACAGTGATACTGAAAAGGTATCCACTCAGTATAGTGTCGTAGCATCTCAGTAGATATTGCCAAGACGCTGGTCATCCGTCACTTATCGTCCCCGCTCCGCACAGCTCCTTTGTCCAATTCTATAGAAAAACTTGACGCGTGTGAACGCTTGAGAATTACCATCGAATCAACTTGTTCGAAGCTTAGCTAAGCTTGGCTTTATTGCAAAGTATGTGATATACAAGACAATATCAGATTTACACAATTTGAATCTCATCTCATCAAATGGCAGTATTTTTATTACCTCATTTCTCTCCACGGAACCATTTACTGAAGTGTTGGATATTAATTCCAACGTTTTGAGATAAAGGTCTTTACAAACAGACGGACTACAAAGTGATTTTTAAGGATTCTTCTTTCCTTTTGAGTAGCGGAACTCCAAAAATATTAGGCTAAGAGTTACTTAAGAGAGATTTCGACGAAATGTCACCACAGAAGCTGAATTTATGTACATAAAGTGCCAAATAAATTTACTTACCACTAAAAGGGGTAGCCTCTTCAAAACTGTTTTCTCTTCTCCTAGTTTTCCTATGTTCACTCGGTCTGTAACAAAGAGTATTTTCACTGTAAATTCACTATGAAAATGTATTACAAACTTGACCTTCACTGATTGGGTTTTTATTGGGGGTCAAGCTGTAGATCCTGGCTACACAGGAGTTGCAGCGGTGGGAACGAGAGGTAGGAATAGTGGAAACTACATTTTCATAACGGGACTGTTATGAAAATGATTTTCGGGATAAGAATGTAGTAAAACTTCAAAAAATTTTGTTCACCCACACGTCCCTACTTCGAACTGTTTTCGAAAAATCCAGCGTGCTATTTGCAAAAAAATTTTGCCTTACCCTGTATAGTACAGTTTTTGGCCTCCGGGCCCCAAGGTCCCATTTCTTGAAAAACTTTTATCGTGTTTGACAATAGCATTGGATTTGTTTTTATAAGAATTTACTTGAACTGAAGTTATAGTTATAGTATTATGAGGTACACGTTCAAAGTAACATTCTTTAGAAATGGCGTAGTTCGTCGAATACCATACATGATGGCCTAAGTGCTTATATGAATTTTCAGAATCAAAAAGTCGATAGCCTGGAAACGTTTTCAGCGAAATAAGAAGTGTATTTATTAAAAAAGAAGTTTTGCTTTTGGAGCACGAATCACAATCCTCATCTACATCTATAGGCAAAGGAGAATTTAGGCACTCCTAACGCAGACCTGATGATGTATTTGGTAATGTAAGCAAACGTACTCGTAGTATTGGTACTAGGAGTGGTTGGTCACTTAGGAGACCAATCATAACTTACTTTTTTGAACATACTCGTACATTTATTCTCGATAACCCCTCGAGCTAATTAACGCTTGTGTTTCGAGTGGGTTTACCACAATAGTCCAGCTGCGACGGGGTTTGAAACCACCCTTGGCAATTATTGTCCTTATTATAATAGGAGTTGTACCGCATACATAATTGCAGCTGATCAAAGCTACCTATTTAGCTGAAATGTTGTTCATTTGCTAATTTGCGTATGTAACTATGTATGTATTGAGCCATAAATACGTCAAGTCATAAATCGGCATTATGCACGCTCACGTCCGTTGCACAGTCAAATAAAATGCAGTAGGCTAAATGCATTGTTCTCTGAAAAATTTCGAATTTGGGCCGGCAAACATTGTGTGTATTGCACATAGCTGATTAATCACGATTTTATTTATTTCATTCGGCCTTGTTTACCACAGAAACCAAAGTTTCTGTTGTTTAGTAGGTACTTACTCAAAATATTTCTAGCTCTTGTGACTATGTCAAAGATGCCTGGCGGGAAAAAAACAAGTCAGTGCATTCATTAAATAACGACTAAACGTGTCAACATAGTACTGCCCGTTCAAGCTTCGAGGAACGCTAAGTCTATCTTCGTCCACTGATGAAGTAAAATTTGTAGTGAACCCATTCTTATGACATGAATATTTAGAGCTTCATCATCATCAACGTCATCATTATGATCATGTTCCATTTGGAGGACTTAGGGGCTAATAGGGATATTAGTCATTTGTGCACGACAATTTGTGGACCGACGACATCGTAAAGGTAGCAGGCAAGCGCTGGATGCAGGCCGCTACCAATCGATCAACGTGGAAAGCATTAGGGGAGACCTATGTTCAGCAGTGGACGTCCTATGGCTGAAATGATGATGATGATGATGATGTGCACGACAAATGAAAGAAGAAAAAATTTGTATGACCTCAAAGTGACCCTTTTAACCATTCCTATACTGTGGTTGTGTGTCATGCGATTAATCTGACTATAATTTATGCATAGTTAGCCGGCGGACTGCAAACTGTTTGCTAAGATGGGACTAATTAGTTTATACAGTCCGCCATGTTGGCAGCTGAATTACTTTTTGATTGGCCATTAGGGTTGGGTAGGCATTAGTGATTTATTTGGTGCGGTACATGTATTAAATTGTTATTAGTTGTATTTAGATGTATTGGGTTGGATTCTGTGAAAGGTAAGGAGGTTTGACTGTAATTTCAATACTTTAGGTACTCGTTATTATGTAGGTCTTGAGTGGCGACCACGGGCTGGAAGACGTAGCGTGAGAAGGCCTCCTACTAGGTGGACCGACGATCTGGTAAAGGTCGCGGGAAGAGCCTGGATGCGGGCAGCGCAGGACCGTTCATTGTGGAAAACCTTGGAGGAGGCCTTTGTCCAGCAGTGGACGTCATTTGGCTGAAACGAACGAACGATGTAGGTATTGAAAGACTAGTACACAAATCGGGTGTTATAATGTAATCTAAAAAGTAGTGATGGGACTATGAGTACATTAAAACTTTTTGCATACGAACTTGTATCCAGGGTACGTTGACTTTTGGATAACTTACTTGGGTATCTTTCTGGTTTTAGTTCTGGATTGGACTTACCAGGTTTTTAGCAACGCGTTTTTCCAGTGTTAAGTGTAATAAAGCGATTTCTGTCTTTACATCCTGTGGAGACCAAGGTGATTTATAAAAAAAACCAAAAATCTTCACAAGTGTCCTTTACTAGGTTTTAAAATGGACCAGCCGTAAAACCTATGCTATGAGTGTTCACACTACAGTCCAGTTATGCAGAATCTGCCTTACTGGATTGCCGTGTGAACGAGCCCGTACACGGTAAAATCACGTTACCTACTGTACATTCCACTTGATGTACCGTGATGGCCTCTGAACCGAACTTGTACTAAGTCAAACGGGTAGTTTAGGGGCTAACTGTGCATACATTATACTGAGATTAATGGTATTAGCGCGACGCGTGCGCGCGCATAATCACAACTTGTGACTCGTATGTCGACGGTACATCATTATATGTACATTTTGGTGGGAAAATCGCTCATATTATAACTTTAATAATACCTCACGCCGGTAATCACAAACGATGCTTGATTAAGTGAAGCAGCAAATCGAACGCACAGCGTTGAATCTCTGTGATTGGTTCGTGTGTAACCCTGTGCGTCCCCACTCCCCGCGCATTATGAAACTTCATAGTAATGTATGTGAATACGGATGTCGGTGTACCCAGATCTGCCGTCGTCCGTTAAATGAATAGAAAAGAAGGAAAGCTTAAAATATTTCTACTGATTTATACATTTGAAAATATAAGCAAAAGAGTTGAAAGCAAGAAATAATTTATCTTGTAGTATACTTTTTGTGTCAAACTTGTATTTATTTGCAGTTAGAGAATATTGCAACTATTAAATTAATTTGATTTTACGTAGGAACTCTAATAATTATTTAGAATCTGTCGGAATATGTCTGAGAATCTCAGGAAAGCAAAAAATAGTAAATATTCTTCTGTCTTTTCCGGACACTATAATCCGGGCCTTTTTAAGGCAAGAGTAAATAGGCACTTACAGGGCAGATATGTAGTATGTACCATACTGCATCTCACCTAACACCATGTGCGATTGCGATCAAATATCTGCCTTGTTATCTATAAAAAGGTTGTATGAGTGAGCATGTTCACTAATGTTCAGGTTGACAAGACAGTCCAGCCAGATTTTCGAGATACTGCATTCCACTGGATTGCCGTGGAATCAAGCCCTTAGTAACTAAAGCCTAGCTAACATCAGAATCCATTGTATTAGTTCCCATTCTCAACTCAAGCTGAGTTCTCGACAATTGCGTCAAAACGCCACGTTCAAACAAGCCGATGTTCCAACTTTGGATTATAGAGAAGTTGAACGCGACTATGACGCGGAATAAAAAACAAACTTAATTTTGCATTTGAAATATACGTCAGGGATATACTCTCTGACTGCAAACGCAAAGAATTAAATAGCCGCGGCTTAAAATTGTTGCGTTAAAGTTTCAATTCAAAGGATTTGTTTAAATTGTATGTGCAGTTCCTGAAACATGTATTTTATGGAGATATGTTTTGAATTAGTCTGTAGAATGTTGTACGTGCTGAAATATTTTGAGCAAATAAATAAAAACAAAAAGAAAGATGGATAGATAAACCATTTTAGCAATAATTGTAAACCACACAAAAAAGAAAGAAATAAATGTGCAAAAGAGAAAGCGCAGTTATACAGGGTGTTAGGTAAATAGGTATATGAGCCGACACTAGCCCATGTTAACACGGGCATATAAATGGTATGGTGAAGTCAGAAAATTGATATCTTCATTTTAATATTTTTAATTTTCATACAAATCGGATATTATAAAATGTGTCTGACATAAAAAAAATAAGGGATTGTGCTGAAAAATAAAATTAGTAAGTAAATTGGATAAAAACCTGCTTGATTATAAATTAAGTTTTTTTACAGCTTTTTTACAGCTTTTTCATCCCATTTACTAAAAAAAAGTGTAAAAGAAAAACCTTTCTTGCTAAGAAATAGGCAAAAATTCGTTGTGTTTACGAATTTTATATTTCTTTTTTGCTTTGAAGATATTCCAACGATCTTCAAAGCAAAAAAGAAATATAAAATTCGTTCATGCAATTTCCACAAAATTGAACTTACTTGTACACACGCCGCAGCCACTCATTCTGCGGTGTACCTGAAAATTTAATAAACAAGTATTAAAAACACCGGTCTGAAAAACTGTGTAAATATTTAACGAACATTTGAGAGGCTTTATTTTGTTTCACAAATAACATTTAGGTGGTAAAAACTACGGATAAAAAAAATATTCACACAAAGGATATAATTGGGTATTTAAGTTATTTAACTAACAAAAAAACACTCTCGGCATTAAATACTCCATTTTGAAACCATTTTCTATTTAATAAAATAACAAAATAAAGACAAAAAAGCCTTATAAAGGATGGAATTTTGTAATGCCACCTGGAGGGAAAGTAGGTACTCTTAATACTGTAGATAGAAAATTTTACTCAAAGAAAACATTTCTTTATTTTTGAAAAGAAAGAGAACTGCATACAAAGATTTCCCTTTTTTTTTTTCGAAAAACCAACATACCATACAATTTTCTGTTAATAATTTAAGATTTCATGGTTTTCCTCTCATTTGATTTATCAAGTTTGTTTCAGAGATTTCATCCTTATACTTAACCCTAACGATCGATGCAATAAAAAATACAGTGTGTAATTTTTAATAGCTTTTAGTTTGTTCAATTCCCGGGTAAAGTATATAAGCAAACGGCGCTTTAGTCAGTCAATGCCTGAGGTACAGTCACGGAATGAAAAGGTTCGTCAGTTTTCAAATTGATTCCTTCAACGAATCGCGAGCACATATTACCTTTTGAAACTATGTTACAGAATAATCTCGAGTTAGAGAAAATAATCTTTAACTGTTCGTCAGTAAAGTTCAAAATTATTCAGATCAAAGTTGTTTGACGATTTAACTTGTCAAGAAGATTATTATGATTGACAAACTAAAACATTCTTGTTGGTTCAACCTGCCATTATTATCTATTAAAAAAAAAGTACATTTTGTAACATTGCACTGATGGGATAGAAAAATAAACAAGCAAAACCTTATTCGTTAGCAAACGTCATATTTATTTAAATGTTAGCAGCACTGTTTCTTGCACGGTTATGTTGGCAGGTTTGACTCTTACAGTACCTAGTGCAAGCGAAAACCGACACTAAGGTGACGAACCTTTTCATTCCGCGACTGTACCTATAGGAGCGGGACGCAAGGCTGTTTTTGAGACGTCAAATGTCAGCGAGACTTATATACAGATATGCTTCAGTGGGTCTAGTCAAAACGCACTTTAATCGCAAACCCATCGCAAACCAATCGCAAACCAGTCGCAAACAAATAAACAAATCGCAAAAGAGGTCGATAACAAAAAAGGCTTAGTCAAACGGCAAAAAATCGAATCGCAAAGCCCTACCTATCGATAATCGAAAGACTGGATTGAAATTTCCCATACAAAGGCTTAGCCAACATGCATCTAAGACTCAATCAAAATCGAATCCAATCGCAACACCCGCCATTTTCATTGCGATTACTAAAACCCCGGTGATAAGCTTCGATTCGATCGAAAAACAATAGGGTGAGTTGCACCACGTAACTTTGACCGTAACTATGACGTTAACCGGTGTTTTTTGTATGGAGTTTGACAAATTTTAGACGTTTGTCAAAGTTAAACTAAGATGGTGCAACCCACCCTAAGGCTGTTTTTACAAATCCGTATCGTGATGTCGTTATGACAGTTAGTTTGACAGCGAAGCATAGACGTAAACAGAGAGCAGGAAGAAGGAAGAAACTAATTTAAAAAAAAAGCTAAAAAAAGTAAAAACAATCGCAAAATCATAGACATTTTTTAACTTTTATTCGATTTTGAATGAACTTTTATATCGCCGCGTCTTTGGTGGTTCAATGTGTATTTTGGCTGCCATTTTCCGATCGAATCGAATTACTGGTGACGCGGCGACTGACATTAGCGAAAACTTCCTATTGGTTTGCGATGGCATTTTGACTAGACCCACAGATTTGTATGCTCTGTCACGTCATAATGTCAATGTCAACCCTCCCGTGCCGCTCCCATACCTCAGGCACTGACTAAGTTAAGTGCTACCTATAGTAATGCTCAAACAATAAATGAGTGTTTATTTATTTATTTATACTTCAATGCCAAAAATATTAACATTAGGCGAACTACTAGTGTTCGTGAATTTATTTCATTATCTTTACCTAAAAGTCTCCTTTGTATTTTCAAAGTGGCAAAGGTGGTGGACTGAAGCAGTAGTTTATTTTGCAACTATTGAATTAGCTGGTAAAGAGCGAAGTTTCTGAGCTAATAGATCAACACAGCTGGTTCGGTTCCCAGGCCTAGCAAAATAAGGCACAATGCGAGAAAATCCAGTAAGCACACTATGGTATTTTTTTATGCAGTTGAAATCAAAATATTTATAACTAAAAGGCGACTGACTGACTGACATAGTGATCTATCAACGCACATCCCAAACCACTGGACGGATCGGGCTGAAATTTGGCATGCAGGTAGATGTTATGACGTAGGCACCCGCTAAGAAAGGATTTTACGAAACTCTACCGTTAAGGGGGTAAAACGGGATCCACGCGTACGAAGTCGTGGGCGGCCGCTAGTTGGAAATCGGTATTTTGCAACAAAGATATAAGGTCTGATGACAGTTTGCAACTGTACAAAGGTTCCAACCCAAAAATTTTGTCCGCGCTTTTGTCACGATAATGCCGTTTGCAATAATGCAGTTCACAATAACGTCTATCCCGCTCGCGTTTTTCGCGCAAGTGTCTTTTCGCGCAAACGTCCATTCGCGCAAATGTCTATCTTGCAAGTGTCCTCATTTATACGCAGTGGTAAACTGCAGTCGGTCTGTCGGTGATATTTTAGTTTCGGTTTTTTAAGATCACCAAACACTTTCATTGATTGAGCTAACCTACTGAATATTCGTGCACTGTTTCATAATATAAATAGTTTATTTTTGTCTAAACTAAATATTAAATTGCTAGTGAGATTTTCTTAAAAATTCAAAAATGGTATTTTAAAGATTAAAAATACATACTCAATGACGGGCGTGAGCTTAATTTGAAAAAGTCAGTAGAGAGTCTCACAAAATACTATAAGATTTCGTAGCAAAACAAAAGTAAAATATACGAATACACGTGGAGACGCTAGACTATACTTTGCGGGCCAAATAGTTCGTAGAACCTGTGGTAGAACTGAAAACAAGAAACGTTCCTGTACCTACTATTTATTCACGGAATCCTAGAAACCCTGTAAAACGAACAAACATAAAAGTATCAGATCAACCAAAGGGAAGACTTTGAAGTATTTAGTATTGAATTGTTTGCTAAAAGCTTTGGTGGTTAGAATTACTAGGAAGGAAGGAACTAAAAAGGCAAAGGACCGGTTCGCGGAAACAAACCCTGAAAAGCACAATTCTGGTATTTCTATTCACTTAAAACCCTCATCGAACTCAACGTTCAAATGGAAAATCATTTTGGGCATTAGAAGGCACACTAAGTTTACAGTCAGAAGTGTTGATGTTTAGAAGTCTAGGGACTATTTTCATATCTCGTTCCCACCGCTGCAACTCCTGTGTAGCCAGAATCTACAGCGGATAACCAGATTGTCCCCGGGGACAAACTTGACTTTCACTGTCAAGTTTGTCAACCAGGGTTATAGGACTATTCCTATTGCTGCATCTCCTGTGCAGCCAGGATCTACAGCTTATAAAAACCAATAAAAACCAGTGAAGCTCAAGTTTGTCCCACGAAAAGTTTAGCTGCTAAAGACTGACACCAGGGTTACAAGACTATTCCCATTTAATCCTTTATATCTACATTTTCCAGCCCAGCAGCAGTTTTCAGCAGTGGACGTCATTTGGCTGAAAAGAACAATCTACATTTTGTAAACCAATAAAAATCCAACCAATGATGGTCAAATTCGTATAACCCAGGGTTATGAAATCAATTGCTACAACACATACGGTAGAAATACAGTGTGAGTCACGTTAAAGTGTACATATGAAAATAGGTGAAACTAGACCTATTTTTATCGACAAAAAATAGGTCAAAATTTTGAGATTTTTTTTTAATTTATTATAGAATTTTTTTTCATCCAATTACTTATTTTAAAGAAATCGTAATAACTTTTAAACTAAGAGGTATATCCTGATAAAATAAAAACAGTAATAATTCTAAATAACAGACGATACTAAATAAATGCATAAAATACTCAGAAAATGCCAACAAATAATAAAAAATGATACTTTTTGAAAAAAATCTGCTTAAAAATTCGTGTTTTTTTGGTTATTTGATCAATTTCTCCAAAAAATGCCCCTATAATAGGTGGTTTTTATGACTTTTTATTATTTTCTATCGTATATACAGCAGATTTTTTTCAAAAAGTATCATTTTTTATTATTTGTTGGCATTTTCTGAGTATTTTATGTATTTATTTAGTATCATCTGTTATTTATCATTATTACTGTTTTTATTTTATCATGATATACCTCTTAGTTTAAAAGTTATTACGTTTTCTTTAAAATAAGTAATTGGAAGAAAAAAAAATCTATAATAAATTAAAAAAAAATCTCAAAAAAATTTTGACCTCTTTTTTGTCGATAAAAATAGGTCTAGTTTCATCTATTTTCATATGTACACTTTAACGTGACTCACACTGTATAATGTAAAAACTGTTCCACGAAAATTTTTACCCACTTTTCTAAACAGCTGCGAAACGCAGCCTGTGCGCTACAGAATCCAGTTTCAAAATGAAGTTAATTCAACAAAGTTGGTACAGCCACAGCGCATCAGGCTGCAGTTTTGTTGCAAAATCGCACTTAATTCAATTGGATAAGGTGCCATTTTGATATGTCGTGGGTGTAAGTTCCACACACTATTACGGTGGAGTACCTTCATTAGATTTGCTTTAGAGCATTGTTATTATCTTCTTATTACAATGAGTGTAACGGTTAGCGTTACCGCTGATCTTTATCTTAGATCAAATTCTAATTTAATTACTATTATCTACCTAAATAAATAAACTTTAATAATAATATATCTAAATCTACGTAAACTACCTAACTAAATAACTTAATTAAATAA